GGGGGGCCACGGCCGCCCCGGGGACTCCTAGCCCCGCGAGGAAGAGACCCGGCCCCTGCGGGTAACTGTGCTCGCCGCCGAGCCCGCCTGGCTCTCCGGGGACCCTCTCTGTCCTGCAGGCCGGGCCCGCGGGGCCGCTCTGGTCTCCGCTTCGAGCCCTGCCCGGGTCTACGCGTCCCCGGGGGGGGGAGGGGGGCGTCACCCAGGGTTGGGGCGCCTCCCAGCCTCTCCCGGGAGCTCCCCGGGGACCGAAGAGAGCGCCCCGCAGCCTTCGGACGCACGCCGGGGAGACCCCTGGGAGCTGGCCAGGGCCCGACACAGGTGCCCGCCCGCGTCGCTGCGGGTTGGGGACGCCACACCGGCCAGACCCCCAGCGCCTGGCTCCTCCTGGGGGTGACGGAGCCCTGGGCTCCACCCGCAGGCTGCAGGCCGGAGGCCGAGGGCGGGGGCTGTGTGCGTTCCAGTCCACTCTCCGGGGGACCGTGTGTCGCCAGTGCCCGTCCGCCCGGTCCTCCTCGCCGGACAATAATTTAGCGTGGGGGGTCTCGGGGAGAAGTCCTCGGTTTTGGCTGTAGGAGGCTGACGGCCAAGGGTTGGAATGTTGACTCTCTCATCTACCCTGTGGCCGTAGGCAAGTTTCCTAACTTCTCAGAACTTCGTTTTCCTCATTTTTAAAGCCGAGAAAAATACCAGTGTCGTCAAGTGCCTTCCAGTGCCCGGCACGTGGCAGACCCTCAATTATCGGCAGGAACTACCATTCTCATCCCAGTTCACTAATGAAATGTTTACTGACTCATTCCATCTCCTGCTTGTGTCCCTACTCAGTAGACAGGGCTGGCCTCATTCTCGTTTTACTAATTATAAATGATTACGAATGATCAGATTATGAATTATTGAGACTGAGGAGTCTCACAGGGCAGGGGCTGTCTTAGGCCTCTTTGTATCTTTCCCAGGCCTTGAATAGTGATTTACACGTTGGTGGATGATTTCATTCAACAATCACTTCCCGAGGACTGGGTGTGAACAAGGCACTGATCTGTGGGTACCACCATGAGCAGGGCCCGGTTCCTGTTTTAATAGGGCTTGGTCTAATCAGGGACAACAGTTCGCTAAGGGCTGAGCCAGAGATGTGACCCGAGGGCCCCTGTTCACTCTGCCTGGGAAGGTGGTGGCCGTCGGACGAAAGCTAATGGAGGATTTCAGGCAGCAAACACTAGCACATTCTCCCTGGCAGCGGGAACAGCATGGGCAAAGGCAAGTAGATGAGACAGCGTGTGGTTTGCGATGACGAGCAATCTGATGTGGCCAGAGTGGAGGCCACGTATTTGGGAAGGGAGTGGTGGGGGGAGAGGGAAAGAGGGGCAGAGTCTGAAGGACGGGACCCTGCAGTCCACAGAGGTGTCAGAGGCATCGAGCGAGCCAGCAAAAGGCTCAGCGCTGTAGTTCACACCCGGACGAGGTGCGAATCAGGGTCTGAAAGGAAAAAGGCACAGTTCAGCATCATCCGTGGAACACACTCACACCACCACCGAGAGAAAACCACCACCCATGCTTGGAAGAAAATGCTGGAAGGAAATGAGTGAAAACCTTAACAGTGGTTACGTTCAGGTGATGAGACCATGAGTGTTCTCTGGTTCCGTGTTTCTGGATTTTAAGGACAGTGCTTTGGGTGGGGAGAGAGGGGGCCATTTGGAGAGGAGAGGCAGGAAGAGCACGTGGGGGCAAAGGCTGTTGCACCCGCTGGGACGCGGGACTGAGGCCAGGGGTAGGCTGGCAGCGTGAGGAGGGCGGTGAGGGAATTGGTTTTACCTTGTGTACAAGTGACAGTAATTGAAGAAACAGAAATACACATTTTTAAAAAGGCTCAGCTTTGTTCATTGAATCACAGAAATACAAACTAAAAGCAAGATGCATTTTTAAAATAATTTTTTTGAGGAGGGGGAGGGGCAGCGGCAGAGGGAGAGAGAGAGAGAGACTCTTAAAGCAGGTTCCACGCCCAGCACAAGAGCCTGACCCAGGGCTCCATCTCAAGACTCTGAGATCATGACCTGAGCTGAAATCAAGTTGGACGCTTACCCGACTGAGCCATGCAGGTGTCCCTTAAAATAATATTTTTACTTAGCAGTTTGGCAAAGATTTAAAGGGGTGATAATGCTGGTGCTAATGTGGGGAAATCAGCGATCCCAGACCCTGGACAGGAAAGTAGGGTGCTAGCCTTCCGGCAGCGTGTCAGTTCTGAGATGTGCAAACCCTCCCATACAGACGTCCTATTCTGGGGACTTTATTAAGAAACAATAGGGGCACCTGAGTGGCTCAGTCGTTGAGCGTCTGCCTTTGGCTCAGGTCATGATCACAGGGTCCTGGGATCGAGCCCCGCATCGGGCTCCCTGCTCGCCGGGAAGCCTGCTTCTCCCTCTCCCACGCCCCCTGCTTGTGTTCCCTCTCTCGCTGTGTCTCTCTCTTTCAAATAAATAAAAATCTAAAAAAAAAAAAAGAAAAAAGAAACAATAGTACAAGGCGCGCACATACCTATGCACTCTGCACACGGGGCTGTTTATTGCAGTGTTATTACAGTGAAGAACCGGAGGCAATTGAATGTCCACTGAAAGCAGGTGGGTTAAATACGGTATGGTACATTCAATGAAATACTGTGCAGCCTTTAAAGAGAAGGTAGATCTTTATGCATTCAAATAAAAAACTCGAGTGTGTGAAGAATATTCTATAACAAACTGTGAACGGTGGTTGTCCCTGGGTCAGGGGAGGGGATACTTTTATTTCAGTAATTTACAATAATATATCACAAAAGCAATATGGTTATTTCCATATTTGGCATAAAAAAATGACATCTGCAAGGCACTGACAGGACTTTGGTGACTGAACATGAGAGGGAGTAAGGAAGCAGCTGAGGGTACCTGGGGTCTCTGGGCCTCAGCAGATGGACAGCCACACAGGGGAGAGGAGGTTGCTGAGGGGAGGCTGCACTTGGTTTTGGAATATGTTGAGTTTGAAGTGCTACCTCTTATTTTTTTTTTTTTTTAAGATTTTATTTATTTGAGAGAGAGAGAGAACGAGCAGGGAGAGGGACAGAGGCAGAGGGAGAAGCAGACTCCCTGCTGAGCAGGGAGCCCGATGCAGGGCTCTATCCCAGGACCCTGAGATCATGACCTGAGCCAAAGGCAGACGCTTAACCGACTGAGCCACCCAGGTGCCCCGAAGTGCTACCTCTTGATGGAAATGTCGGGGGTCCCTGGCCGCCATAGTGGGGTCTCTGTGAAGCGGGCAGACAACATAAGGGCATCGCGCCCCTGGGGGCAGGGCCTACTGAAAGACAACATTTGCTGCTGGGAAGAATTCTCATACTGTTGCCCAAGCCGCACACATCCTGGTGGCAGGGCCACTGAGAAGGGGGTAGGAACTCGAGGGCTGGGTGCGCGAGCCTGTGGGAGTAAGTCAGGGTGTGGCCGGGACTGAGCTTCCCCGACTGGCTGGTTTCTGCAGCAACCAGTGCTGCCCATGCCTGGCTTCTAGCTCAGGGGCTGGCCCCAGGCTCAGACCCCCTTTGCTCCTGACAGACTCCTTCATTTTCCCTCCGGTAGCTGTGGCCACTGAAGGAACTGGCAGCGAGAGGAGAGACACGGCCACGGCCGCTCAGGCCCAGCGTCTGAGCGCATCTAAACACCCAGCGTCTAAAGAAACCACCACGGCACCTGCACCAGGTAACTGCCTCTGGTCACCGGGGTCCCACTCTTCCCAGTGGAGCCGTCCAATCTGGACAGCCACTCCTTAGCACAGGGCACCTGAGACCTTTTTATGACAGATGGCAGGAAGTGTTGGGAAGGGAACGGGAACAGGAACAAGGCCGAGGAGCCTGGAGTTAGCTCCTTGACTACTGCGAAAGCCTGGGGAGCAAACTCCCTCACTTCATTCACCATCTCTTCTTCCTCATCTGCAAAAGAGGGACAGGGACAACTCCCCAGCGCACGGCCCCGGCTTGTTGCAAGCACCCACTGGGGGAATTACGCGAAGGGACTGTGTATAGAATGCTGTGGAAACAGAAAGCAGTGCTGGCAGGAGGCTGTCTGTCCCTCCTGTGGTGAGAATGGTGGCTCAAGGCCCAAGGCTGAGCTGGTATATAGGCGCAGAGAACCTACTTAGGGTTTTCTGGGCGTAGAGCTGGCCTTTAAAATGTGGGTCCAGGGAGAGGTGAGTATTTCCAGCGTGGCATGGAGTATCTACCTAACAGATTTGTTAAAAAGGAGGAAAATACAGGCGAGACAGAAAACATCGGCCTGCGGCCTGCAGCCGGCAGGTGGCCGGGATGTGGGAGGGGAGCCGACCTTACCCCACAGTGGCCTGAGGCTCTTTCCTGTCGGCCACTGGCTGCACCTTCTCCTGCCAGGCAGCTTCTTTCGTCTTCCTTTTTGAAATCTGAAATCACCATGGAGCGTCTGCGGTATCCACTGGGGGCAATCCTGACTGCTAAGAACTTAGTTTCCAAATGGCAATAGGATCATTTCCCCCCGAACCGGATAGCACTTTCTTTTCCAGGGCAACTCTTTGGACTCCTGAAAGCAGATTTTACCATCCCAGCTCTGATGGACCCAGAAGATATGAAAGACCAATTTTTGAGTGAGGTGAGACTTCAGGCCACTTCTGATTTTGATCAGTCAGATGACTTTGACAATGCAAGGCAATACTGTGGGAACCAATATACCTAGAGAAAAAGCTTTGGAAAATTAGCTCATCTGTTCCCATTGCCATCACTCTGGCTCAGGGTGACAGGTTGGTGCATGTGCTGAGACTTTCAGATCTTTTTCTTAGTCTAACATTTTTTTCCTGAGCTTTTTTTTTTTTTTTTTAAATCAAGATAGCATAGTCAGAAGGACCTGAATTGGGGTCTTGGCTTTCTACTTATTAGTTGTGTGACCTTGGGCAAATAACTTAACCTTTCTGTGTATCAGTTTCCTCATGAATTAGGGCCAACAAAATCTACCTCATATGGTTGGTATTGATTAAGTGAAATATTCCATATAAAGTGCTTAGTAAATTGGCACGTAGTAAGTGCTTGATAAATACAAACATTAACTATTACTATCAATTATTATTGTTTGGGATATACATTTGTTCTAGGCTCCCCCTACCATCCTCTGTTCTTTTAAAGGATTATAAGGTAGGACATTGTGAAGAGGAAGAATTATTCCCAAATATTGCAACAGAAGCCTCAAACCAATTTTTGAATATGGCAAAAGGGCACATTTTTCAGTTATACCAGATAATAACCATAGATGTCAGAGCTAGAGAGTTCCTTATGGGTCATCTAACCAAATCATAATGTTACAGACAAGAAAACAGATTGGCATTTATCTAGTAGCTTACTGCAATTTATTCACAGGCCAAAGAAATAGCACCCAGGCAACTTGTTCTAAAACCTCACAAACTCAAGTGTCTGGAAAGAACAGTAGTGTGTGTGTGTGTGTGTGTGCACACACGCGTGCATACGTGCACTGGCCTGCCAGGGACTGGGGAGAGGAACTAGAAATTTCTCGGTGCATTTTGCTATTGAAAGAAGAACAGGTGCAAATGATGCAATTCAACATCGGATAATTTTTTTAGTAGAAGTTCAAGTAATAAGACTGCAGTGCTCAGTAGAAGGTTTTCAAAAGTCAAGGACCCTTTTTTTGGGGGTGGGTGGGGGGAACCAAACCAGAAATCATCTTCCTTCTGTTTTAGAGTAAAGCCAAAGTCAAACATCTTTTAATTCCATCTTTGTTAGGATGTATCTATTCCCTGTTAATGGAGAGAAGTTCTACCTCACAGATTTAAAGGATGGAAAAGGTGGGGACAATGTGTGTCTGTCTGGGAAGGTAGAGCATATATATTGGTTTTAGCAGCATTTTAAATTCCAAACAGAAGGCGAGGAAACACCTGGAGCCAACTTACCCCAGTTCCAGGGACAGGGACAGGGCAACATGGTGGCAGACACACACAGTGTTCAGGGCTCACTGTGGACCAGTGGTTGTTAACCCCAACGCAAGTTAGAATCCCCTGGGGAAGTGGAAAAAAGAGCTCAACCCCAATCTATAGAGAGATATAGTTAATTGGTCAGTGGGGTAGCTCAAGAGGCATCCCCCCTCTTTCCTGATTTCAAAGTTCGGTAGTGATTCTGATTAACAGGATTGAGAAGCCCTGAGTAAGTCCTTTGTTTTAGCCCCTTTGTCATCAGACTACCCGCCCCCCCCCCCCCCCGGGCCCCGGGGCCACAGGGTGTGTGTGGTGGTGGAGGCCGAGCACTGGCGGCCATAGTGTCCTAACCAAATTGATTTATGTACTTTCCCATGAGGGGAGCTGCTAAGGACAGAAGGCAGGCAGCTGGAGGGGGGCTAAGAAAAATAAAGGGCATGGCTGGACATAAAGGGTAGAGGTGGGCAGTTTAGGCCAGGAGGTCACAAGAAAGCAACGGCAGTTTCTCTTTTTGATGTTTCAGATCCAAGAAGTCTTAGAGTTTACATTAGGTCATGAGCAATTCTGATTGAAATGGGTTGGCTTCGAAGTAAACAAAAAAGAGCCCACGTCAACTGATCTGGAGTCTCCTTCTCATACAATTTTCTCTGGATTTTGAGTGAATTTTAGTCTTTTCATTCCTGTAGATTAGACTATACATTTGTTCCAGACTTTTAGAAGTAACTCCAGCTATATGAAGGGCTAACTGGTAGGATTTCAGACCCACACCTCACACACAAGAAAATTATGTAAGAGAAAAAAAATGGCCTTCCTGGATTTTATAAGAAATAGGTAAGCAGAAGCAGATGGAAGTATTTGGGGACAGTAACCTGGAGAATGACAAGCAAACAAGAACACAAAACCCCAACGAAGCAACAAAAATCCTGACACAAACCCCATTAATCTACCTAGGGAATTAAGAGAGGATAGTAGTGGGCTGGCCGGGAAGCTAAGTGAGGCATCGCTTCCGAATGACGTGGAGGACACTTTCCTTCCAAGCCACGAGCTATTAAAGAGATTTCAAGTTCTTCCGAACGAGGAGCTCTCTAAGGGCATCATCACAATATAACATATTAATGCGAGCTATTTGTCCTACTACACGTAAATTTTTACTTGTTAATTGGGAAATTCTCTGACACATCGTTCTCAATGTTAAACTATTAACTTCAGAAAAAAAAATATAACCTCAGAAGAAGGTTCCTGCATACATTTCCTTTCTGGTTTTTCTCCAAGTGTTCTACTCACCCAGATACATGCTAGAAATAAGGTGGTAAATACGTCAAATACATTAGCAACTTTAGTCTGAAATGTTTAAAGTTAAAGTTTATTTGTATTCTTTGTAGGAATATCAATAAAAGACCTCAAACGTATCTATATCTGTACATGTACAAGAACCATCAAAAATTATTCACAGAACAAAAATAAATCTTCTTTAGAACAAACCCAGGTAATGAAATGCAGCTATGGATCTCACGTATGGAACAATCTAAGTGCTACCAGCACAAAAATATGGCTTTAAAAATAAAATAAAATCTTGGGTTTTGTTTTTCTAAGGTGTACTTCTCTTTCTTGAAATAAAAAATAAATTATTTAGAGCTATCATTGTAAAATAGTCATGTGTATTAACACATTCTTATTAAGGCCCTGGAGATGAAAAACAGAATCAAATTTAGAAGGTAAATTCCTCACAGGTGTGACTCAGGTTAGCGTGCTGCTGTCTGCTTGGGTTAATTTTAATGTCACAAGGAAATATCTAAGCACCTTTACTAAAAATTTAACCTTTACTATTTATTTCTACCTTTCTGCAGGATAGTGGTCATTGAGTCAATTAGTATTTTAACCTTTTGGTGAACTGGGAACTGAAATTTCTCCCTTGAGAGTTTAGAAATGACATAAATACAATATTTATACATGAACATTTGAACCCCTCCCACAGATGACGGAGGCCCCTAAAACACAGCTTCTGTGGACATCTTTCTACAACAAGAGATAAATCTGGTTTTAGGTCCCAAACGAAAACACTTCCCAGTGGAACATGAGGGCATCTGAATGAAAAGGAAGAGAGGAGTAGGAAATGAAAGTGCAGGCTGAGACATGGGCAGAACGACCACTTTGCTTTCCTGGGGTGGCTTGCTGTCATTGCCAAGTCCCGCTGGCTTGGTTTCTCAAACACCTGAGGATTAACTGACCAGGAACCAAAGCTCCTTCCTTCTGGAACCTACTCTCAGATCAGTGATACTCAGCTTTCTTTCTATGACCCTCATGGTATCAGTGACGATATCTAGGATTCTTGAGACAATGTCAGACCAAATCAACTTCAAGTCACTTTAACTTATATATACATATAACACATATGGTACATACATTTTAAAGAGGAACGAACCACAGTCATAACATCTAACAAATGAGAGCACAAAACCTAAAAAGCTCAAGAAAGTCTGGGAATCACTGTTCTGTAAGATGGACCAACATTCAGAAAAAAGAAGCCCTAGGAATTGTGTGTTTTGTGTGGCTGTGCATGTGCTGTCTCCAGAGACGGCCGTTCCACTTATCTGTGCATATTAAGATCAGGCAAAGGATATAAATCCTGTTTCCTCAAACCTTTGGGCTACTGAGACGGCTGCTGTCCCCTTTCGGATCATGTATCTTCCTCGCGTTCTTTCTCTCCTCATAAGATATTTATTCTGTCTCATGCAAATTTCATCACTTTTTTCTTTCCTAAACTCAAGAGAATTCATAACTGGGTCATGACAACAAGGGAATGCTTCTAGAACTAATAACCATCACTCGAACATGGAAAGAGATTCTATTTAAAAATTAACACCCCAACATATATCTTGCTTTTAAAAGACTAGTAAAATAGGTTCTTCCAATTGACAGATTGATAAGAACAAAGTATCCCAAATTCTTGGCTCTCAGGTAATGGGTGGGAAGGCAAAGATTTACTGTTGGGGCAAGCAGGCGATTTCACACGTGACCTGAGAAGGGAAAGGGGACTGGAGAGGGCAGGCCCTTTTGGTTTCCACAGTCGGTGCGAGAAGGCGGCCCCCGTGGGTGTAGCTGACAGCACGCTGAGGTGGTGGTACGGCCTCAGAAGCTGGCCCAGGGACCAGTCTAGTCTGGTGTCCAGCCTCGGCTCCCGGTCACACAGGACTTAGGGAATCCCAAAGGGGGTTCCTTCCCCAAGTTCAGCCCCACAACCAGCCTTCTCAGGAACTCCAAACTGGAGCTGACTAGAACTCAATCCAGGTGGAAGGCAAAGCAAATACTAATGCAAACTCACTCGATGGCCACGGTCTTGCCCTGGGACGTCCGGAGAAGAACTGCTCCCTACCTGGGGCACCTCTGAGGGCACAGTGAGAGCCAGGGGCCAAAAGAACCACAGCTCCAAGAACAAAGGCTGAGGTCGACAAAGATCTGGAAAGCTCTACTTTTAAAGTCCAGCATATTCTCAAGGTCATACAGCAGTCAGAGACAGAAACTCTTGCTCTTTCTTTCACTGTCTAACACCATCACAGGGAAAGGTCTTGGAGCAGACCAGAGAAAGCGACTTGTCACCATCTACAAACTGAGTGAAGACAACAAACAGTGAAGACAGCATGATGAGCTCATCTTACCAGTGTCCTCACGAACGGGCTGCCCTGGACCGCGATGGCACCTCCGTGAGGGTGCCTGGGACACGGTGGGCGCTCAAGTGTCTGTTCTAGTTACCTGGATGCCATCTCCTAGGTCTTGGCTTATGTTGTAGAGACTCGGGGAATGCAAGGACCTGGTGGAAATGTCACTCTTTCTTCTGCTTCGGCCCAGAAAGCCTGTCGCTCCAGTGAAATAAAAAGGGAGTATGGAAGCCCTTTCCTGAATTCCTAAATCCCACCCATGTTGTCCTTGTCAATGGCCAAGCCTGGCAGTCAGCTTAGACGAGCGCTTCGCAAGCACTTCCCCTGAATCCCAAATGCCAGTGGACCGTGGCCCGGCTGCAGTCCGCAATGTGGCTGATGTGTGGCTGAAGGAGGAGTGCGGCCACGGCGATCTTAACCCACCTGCCTCGCCTTGACCAGGCCCTCCTCCTGCTGAACATCCGGATGGAGTTATCTGGGCTGAAGAAAAGCCGAACTAAGCAATACCTCCATAAAAATTACCAGCGGTTTGCTGCAGTCTTATATACTTAAAAAATCTTTCAGAATAAGTTCTACAGATGACAGCTTCTCTAAAGAAATACTCAGAAAAATGTTTGGATAGGAACAGGCTCAAAGGATCATCGAAAATTTCACATCTGGCAACAAATCTGAACTTCTAGCTGACTTCTGATTTTTTTTTTTACTCTTTTCTCTTCATTCAAGATAACCTGATAAGAGAGGGCTGCATCATGTTTCCAAACATTTTGGGCATTAAATCTTCCGGAGCAGGCAGCCCTCTAAGGGGCTCCCACAATGCCTCCAAGCTGGAGGCAGCCATCAATAGGTTTTTTTGTGTCTCCCCCAAACCCCCAATATAGGTAAGCTGATCGGCCCTCTGTAATCCATAACCAGCACTTTGAGCTTCCAAACCTCAATGCAAGACATCCCCCGAGTTACATACTTAAAAGGCCACTGAGACTGACTCTTCTTTTACCAGGCTTTCTGCGGCACAATGGAAGGCTTTACAAAGAACAGATTAAACGTGACTGGAGCTGAGAACAGCTCTAAATGAGAACACCTATGTTTACATCCCCCCCCCCCTGTCCATCACCCAGCCACTCCCCTCCCCCCCCCCCCCCCGCCCCCCCAGCCAACACAGGGCACACCTTCAGAATTAGTAAAGTTGTTTTCCTAGTAAAGTGATTTTGACCGCAGTGTGCCCTAAGTTTCGAGGGAGGAGGTAAGAATTTGTAAAACAACTACCAGGGGTCAAGAAATGAACCAAGTGCCCAAAATCCGAGGGCATGAAAACCGTAGATCAGATAAGTAGGAGGAATAGCCCTGATTTACAGCTCCGACCGGCAGAGACGAGAAGATTATGAACAGAAATGTTTTAAAAGGTGGGTTGGAGGCTGTTGGGAGGTTGCTGAGATGCAAGGTCCAACACAGAGATCCAACTGGGAGAGGGCAGGGCTCAAGAGGTCCGAGCGAAAGCCGGGGGGTGCCTCGAGAGGGAGGCTATTCACAGATGTCGAGGCTGGGCCTCACCCAGCAGAGGACCCGATAAATGTCCTCCTGTTTCCTTATAATGCTCTCTTCGGTAGAAACACTCACTCCGTGCATAGGGCTCCCTCGGGTCTTTGTTTTTTCCCTCTCCCTTTTTCCTTTTCTTTTTTTAAAAATTTCCTTAAAGTTTATAATTTAAAATAAACATCCTTAACTTATTTGAGAAATGTTGTTGCTTTCTCAGGATAAAGAGCCGCTTAGATCTTGTTTAAAGAGATTCAAAACCCTTTTAACGTTATATCTGACAGCAGAGAAGGCATGAACTTTTCCTATTTGTGTTTTATGTACATATGTGTGAGTATATATGTATATATATTTGTATATATAATGTCTGTTTTAACACATAACATTCCATACTTCTGATAATCAAGTTTGCATTCAAGCTGACATTTCACACCTCTGGAAAAAAGGAAGTAAATTAGCTTCCATGACTGTTTCTGTCCTACAATAAAGCCAAGGATGACAGTTGGTGAAATGGAGTGATTATTGCCAAATCTATGAAGAACATGGGAGTAATGACTGGAACGCATGGTCCTTGCACTTTTAGTTTTCTTTGTTTATAAGCAGAATCGTGACTTCTGGATTTCCTTTCTAAATTTTAGTGAGGGAATTAGAAGAAGAAGCCATTTCAAAGCTAAAGACTGAGAAAATTACCCTGCCCAGAGATTTACTAGTACAATGGATAAAATCTTTATCCCAAACAAAAATTGTAAGTTACAAATAGAAAAGTTGTTTTTTTTTTTTTAATAGGAAATATTCAGAGATTCCTGCTAATGGTATGGTTAGCCCTTTTCTGTGTGGAAGAAAGGGTGTTTATTTTGGATGGCTTATGGACAGCATATTTGAACAACCTCTCCAGGGGAGAGTGAACCCTGTTGGTGAAGACTGCTCCCACCAGGAATTTGGAAAGGGCAGTGGGTGTGTGGAGATGAAGATGGTATGCAGAGACACAAATATTTATAGTTCTGTAAACTCTAAAGAGGAAAAAGAACACCCTTTATTACAACTGGGGTTAAAAAAAGCCCCCTATCTAAAATGGAAAATTCCCATCTGCTCTAGACAGAAGGAAATGAACATCAACAGGAGTTCAATAGAAACCACTCCTAAAGTCCAGTTTTGATGCAACAGCTCTTATCTGTGTCTTCTGAAACAGTGTATCCCCAAATCACATTAGCTGTCCATTCAGAACCAGTCTTGGTTGATCAATGGGATCGATTGTTTTGGTTGGTTCTTGGTATTTGCATGTTCTCCTAAAGGTCAAGGGGGCCAGAGTGGGGTTTTTAGACTGGCAGATGAATCCCTGAAAAATTCATTCTGACGATGTCCTATTGCACTCCACGTGCTTCTATCCGATAGACACTTGGTCTCTACCTACCGAGCCCGCGGGCTCATCTCTCACTCACATGTCGTTCCTACTTTTTCCTCCTCTAACAACCGCAGTGCTCTCAACAAGAGGAAAACAATAATAAAAATAGTAATAATTAAAAAGGTAATCTACATTATTCACTTCCTTTTGGTATATTACAGTGGTATTTTCTGTACATGGCCCAGAACTAAGTTCCCTATGTACATAGAGACATGGGGGGAAAGCATCGACCTTGGAAGTCTTAGCCTTATGCCCTGAAAGACAAGGTTCCTTTCTTCATTTGAGAGTGTCTCGCCACTCTGCTGTTCGGAAGTAGCAACATTCTGTAAACCTGGGGGGGTCGGGGAGAGGTCTGGGGCCAGGAGAGCGGGGACATTTCCTTCTGTCTCCTCCCACAGTCTGTGTGGTCACAAAGGCCGTCAGCAGCTGCTGTTTTTGAATTCACCATTCTCCGTGATGGAAAGCTTGGTGGGGTTGGTGGGGGAGATGCCATTGCGGACCTGCATGCTGTACCGCTCCTTCACTTGCGTCAGCGCGCTCATCAGTCTGGTGTTGGCCGAATCCAGGGACACGATCCGCTTTTCCTGCAACACACCAATCGGGGCTTTATTCAGGCCACGTGCAGGAAACCACACGGTAATGCTCCACTGAATGACTGTTCTAATGCCTTCTATCAAACAGCAGTACGCATGATGCTTCCCAGACAAATGGAACGTCTCTGCCTCTTTCTGCACCCTACTCAGGTTCGGCTTCCCCTGAGCCCAATGCGTCTGTGTTTCTTTTCTCTCTCTTTTTTCCTTTCAGCACAGCAGGACTGGTTATTAATAATCCCTTGGGACGCTAGGATGATGTGAACAAGACACCAGGTGTTACTTCAGACTGTGCAACAGGGCTGTCAAGCTGCCTTATGGTATTAAGTGCTTTGGGTCAAAATTAAAACATAGAAATCAGGTGGTAAAGAAAGAAGCACCAGAGGTTTCATTTCACAGAGGAGAAGTGCATGTGCTCTGCGGGTTCTTGGCCCCTCAAGAGGGCACATCAGTCACATTTGGAGAGAATTCACATTGTGCTCAAAATTAAAACAATACATGGTGGCAGTTTCTAGTCACCAACAAAGTGAGGATGCAACAGCAAGAGGGGAAAAAGCAGCCAGAAGCTCAGACCAAGGGGTCATTTGAATATGGGAAGGGAGATGTGGCCGAAGGGGGATGCCAGAAACATAACACATGAAAACAAACAGAGAACACAAGCTTCTCGACTCATTCCAGCTCAGAGTTACTCCAGGAAAGCTATCCAATAACGAGATTGCTTTCATTTTCCTTTTGAGTCTCTGGGGAAAAAAAAAATGCCTTAGGACCAATATTTTGGAACCAAAGATTGTTGAATACACACACACGGAAAAAAAAGACCAAAAACAACAAAACAAAAAACCAAGAGAGAAAAAAGGGCCACCCCGACCCCGTCAAAATATGGCAATCTAAAGGGAAGTAGGCTCATCTAAGAAAAAAAATCATCCCGTCAAAATATTATCAGTCTTACAAAGATTAGGAGAGAACCCCTAATCTTAGTTTCAGTAGGTAGGGAGATCATTCCAGAACCTTTCCAACATGAAGTTGTCACTTTTCAGAAAAGAGGCTAACGCTGAGAGGGGTGGTCTTCACTTATGTCCATGAAATTAAAAAGAAAAAAAACATGTGAGGAACAAGCCCGAAAGCCAAAAGCAGCTTTCCTCCCCTGGAGTGTCTGAATTTACCCCGGGAAAAGCGTGGTAAGGCGGGTCACGGGGAGGTGCAGAGAGGGCAGGAAGGGCTGAGGGTTGGATGCTGCTCCTCGCTAGCGGGCAGCAGCCCCCCAGGGCCATGTCGGGGTGCTCCCAGCAACACGCCACCAGGAGGGGGCTGAGGGAGGACCACTGCCCTCCACTGCCCTGCGGGATGCTGGAGGCAAAAGCATTACAGACAACAGCATCAAGTAATGCTGCCCTTTAATCTCCTACTTTGGGGATGGGTCAGGGCAGCAGGGCTAGGGGTTTCAAAAGTAAGAAAAAAGTCCCTTGTTACTGGCATTAAAAAAATGTTCTCCTTTTCTCTGATGGAGGTCTCAGGTGGTAAGACACATAAAATCAGCATTATTAGGTAAGCATTCATCTAGTATAAGATGCTTTTTATTTTGGGAGGGTAACTCATTTTGAGGGTAGGCAAAACTTAATGAAAGAAAGATCTGTGAGGCTTAAAAAATAGTAATTAAAAAAATCATAGCCAATGGAGTTTACTGGGATAACAAGTCTAGATCTTTAAAAAGCCAGCAGGTAAGGACTGGTCAGTGGTTACCAGGAAACAAGGAGTGGGGGGCCAAATACGATGGTTCCCCCTCTGGTTAAGAATGGTCTCTGAACAGAGTAACTGTTAATATCCTGAAATGATTAAAAAAGAAATTTCAGTATTAGGATAAATAAGGCCCCAATAAGAAGGAAAGTAGGATTCTTCAGGTTTAACCCCACCCCCCTAAAATTTTTTTAGGCATTTGTAAAAAGTTATTTGATTCTTAAAGGGTCAAAAAGAAGGCTAAGAATGATTGCAATTATTTATTTCCTACAAGAGTAACAGCTGAAGCCAAATAATCCCCCTGCTGAACAGCTGAAAGTTTCCAAGTGGACAAATCCCCTTTTGTAATTCCCCCCACTGCCAACGTCTCAAAATAAAACAAAAAGTAAAAGAAAAATCATCAAATAGGGACTTTTGAAAGTCAAGGTCAGTTGGCAAAAGATGCCCTGACATTTTGATTCCGCTTGGGTTGACAGGCAAAGCAATCCACGCCTGACAGGAAGGCTTTCCAGGGTGGTTGCTGTAGGAGCTGGAATGGGTAGGAGGCCGGTGTCCTGGGCCAGGGCTGGGACTGCTCAGCTACAGAACGGACCGGGTTTACTTGCCTGTTTGAATAATCTCATCTCCATTTATGACCTGTAATTTAACACAGCGGAGATATCACTTGCAACAGTAACTAGGCAGCTGCTTGCTTCTCAGAGGAGGAAGCCCTTCTCTGTTCTCCATCTGAGTCACATGGAGAGATCCTGGGGGGGTGAAAGTGGCACAGTCCCTGGTCTGATGCTTCAGAAATGGTCCCCTTAGTTCCATCACCAGGATCCCCATGGCCGTGCTACAAGGTCCAAGACAGCTGGTTCTGGCCTGGCCAGTGCAATGCTCATCGTCCTGCAGTGTAGTTAGAAAGTGGCTGACCCAGGCCAGGCCTCACGGCATAAAGTCCAGGAGATGGACAGGCTGACCTCGGCGACAAGCCTTGCCCAGAGGGGCGCAGGACTGCTGGCACAGATGAAAACCAGTTCACTGGGCACCAGGCCTTCAGTGCTTTGGGAAATGCTGGGCTCAGCTCGAATATAAGGAAAGCAAACCGTATTCATAGGAGAAATATTTTCCACTACCAGTGGCACCAAGGAAGATGCCAGGGACCTAAAAGGATGGGCTACCTCACTGGGAAGCTTTCACCCCAAACATGTGTGCGTTCTATTAAATGAGCCAGAAGGACTGCTCTGCTCCATCAGACACTTAGGATATAAGATTGATCCCGACAAAGGACAGGCTCTGATGTAAAAAGTCATTCATTACAAAGGCTGCCCCAAGATGTTCAAAGTCTTTTGCTATAGTAAGACTTGAATGTACCAGTAAGACAACAGCTGGAATTGGAGGTCATAATTTTTTTTTTAAATTAGCTTTAGTGTTTATGATTTGTGCTATACACCGTACACTGTTTTTCAAAATGTGGTCCAGTGAATTCTCCAAGTATTCTTCAGGGATCCCTGGTGGGCCTCTGGTAGAAAGCTTACTGTACAGTAATGCCCGTGTCTGACAAGGTAATTTACTATATTTAGCCAACCTCAGTATGATTTCATCCCTGAGCTGAAAGTGGTCCTTGCTGGTGGTGCTCAGTCCGAGCAGTTGGAAAGTGACCTATGGAAGGTCCCTCTGGTTTGACCAAAATAGTCCACGGAATCAAAGCATTTGAAAACCACTGCCTTGAGGAATGGACCCAAAATATCTAGTTTAGCCAGACCACAAGCTGACGCTAACTAATGCTCTGAGGATCACATTTCACCCGTCCCTGAACAGCAACACCCTCCTCCTGGTTAACTGACAGATGGTCCTTACTTTCCAGAGCTTTTGAGGCCTGATAGATCCTACTCCCTTCCTTGTGTTCACCGTCCATGCCTGACTCCAGCATCACACCCAGTCATCTGGCCCTCAATGTCAAAATAGGGGACGGGAGGGGCACCTGGGTGGCTCAGTCGGTTAAGTGGCTGCCTTCGGCTCAGGTCATGATCCCAGGGTCCTGGGATCGAGCCCCGCATCGGGCTCCCTGCTCGGCGGAGAGCCTGCTTCTCGCTCTCCCTCTGTCTGCCGCTCTGCCTACTTGTGCTCTCTATCTCTGTTAAATAAATAAAAATCTTTAAAAAAAAAAAAAAATAGGGGACGGGAGCGGGTAGAAATGGCCAGAAGCTAATGAGGCTGTCCTGCGGGCAGCTGAGAAGAGGGAAATGTTCTGTGCCCAGAGCCACCACTGTGACACACCCAAGCTTCCTCTGCTCAAGACTGACACAGTTTTAGACCAGCTGGAATTATGAAAATGGTCCGTTTTATCTCAGCAGAACCAAAATCTCTCCTGGTGTGATTATTAATAGGACTCTTCCTGCACCCTTTTGTCACACTGAAAACCTACCAGTGAAAACTTATTAACAGTGGTTTTCCTGACTAAACTGCTTTCTGTATCCAGGTTGTTTCTCTGAAGGCTCTGGGATGAATTTTTTATAGTATGTATGGCAAGATGGCCTTGTGTCCACTACCCCTCCCTCACCCACCTTGGGGACACACAGAAAGGTTTAAAAAAAGGACCAAGTCAGATAATTACAGCAGACCTTTCTTCTGATTCTTATGAGGTCCAAATATCCAGAAACTACAGAGTCCAAAATATTCCAGGAGCTACGCTGACGAGAGTGTCACAGCTCACACTGGCCTACAAGTTGGGTGTGTCTGTGGAGCATCGGGCCCAGGAAGCCTCCTTCCATGACTCTGCTTTCAGCCTCCCTCCCAACTCCTTTGAAAAATAAACCCCACCCCACATTAACCCTGTCAGGAAACCAGATAGGGGGTGTTAAGTGCATGCTTAATAATGCCAGGGGCTCCGACACAGAGGTTCCCCTATGCAGAGAAGGTCCCCGATAAAGTCCTTGCTCCCATTTTTATTCCATAGCTTGGGGATATGATAAGGGGTTTAAAGGTGAGAAATGCAAACCCGTGTGGGTTGGGTATCTCTAGGAAGGAGACACGTTCGGTGGCTAGACCAGCCACTATCAAAACCGCACCTGCCTTTTGTTATTTATTTTGCTCTAAGAAATACAACCATATTTTGCAATGATAAAATGAAACCAAATCAGCAATGTTTCCTGCCTCCTGGATTGGCTCTGATCACTGATGTGCCCTGTGAGGTGCTCTTGGGGGTCATCATGCCATCAGTGTCGTAGGGATACGCTACAGCGAGCAGAGGCCCAGGTTCTGATTTCATCAAGACTAAGAGGCTCTCTAAGCACAGTGCCAACAAAGGAGGGCAGCCAAGCAAATCCCAAGCATCACTGCCAAACCCTGCACCGAAAGAACAGCAAGGAAAGGTATCTGCCACAACCCTGTCTTTCCCCTACAGTTCTACTCGTCTGTGGGGCTAGAGGTCGATGGCACAGTGGACGTGACTAACAAGACCGTGAACATCACAGCCAAGCGATGGGCAGTGGAGGTCACAAGCCAGACACATGCGGTGTACTTTTCACAGTTACCCCCTTAGAGAATGCCCTCCTTTCCATAAGGAAAGAAGGAAACCCCATCATGCATTAGGTTGAGATTTGTCCAGCAACTGCTCTAAGCACGCTAATACTTTGCTGGGTTAACAGACTTGTCACCAGTCAAAGAAAGGAAAAGTAATACAGGTCACATAGAAACTCTTTTAATCTTCAAAAGGTAATGCTGATAACTTCCCAATGACCCATTTTTTGCAGTACATGCCTTGGGCACTTCCTGTCGGAAGTCAGGAAATTTAACAGTCATTATAAACAAGTGCCTTCTACTAGATTCAAGGCATGCTCACCTGTGCATCAATTATTTTTTGCTTTGCATCAATAACTGCTTGCATCTCAGCATGATCCTTCTTCAGTTCCTCTTCCACAGCCATCAGCCTAGAACGTGGCAGCAAGAGACATCCAGAACGTACGTCAAAGGGAGGCCAGCTGACGTAGGGGACAAGAAACCCAAACTCGGCAGAGTCCAGATTTCCACCCCTCCCCCATGAGAGGTCCGTGATCCTGCTTGTTTCTTCTCTCCCACCTTGGAAGGAGCCATCCAAGGCTGACCTCTCTGTTGGTGACCAGATCCCGTGCATTTTCATCTCCTCTGGGACAGGGTCCCCAGAATCACTTCCTCCCTTTCCTGTCAGATCCTTCCCCCGGCACAGCTTAGTTCATCGCAAACTAGCAAACCACCCAGAAAAAAACAAATGACCCCCCTCTCATTCCCAAGTTCCTCAGAGGGGAGGAGTTTCTCAGACTGAGTTTCTCAGAGGGGGCTACACTTAGTCAGCCTACTTTCTCTCTCGGGCGCCACTCGCATCTTAACCCACAGACGTTCGACTCCATGAAACGGCTCCAAGACTGCTAATTCCCTCCATACTTCTGAAACGACAAAGCTTTTCTGTCTTCATTTTGCTTGACCCCTCGGTAGCATCCGACAGGAGTGAAGCACAGTGGTTCTGAGCCTGGGCTCCGGAGCCTGACTCCCTGGCTTCAAGTCCTGGCTGCCCCACTAAGTGACCTCGGGCAGGTGACTTCATGGCTTTGGAGCCTGTTTCTTGATTTATAAAATGAGAATAACGCCTGCCTCAGAGGTTGGCATTAAACACATCTTTATGGACAGATTAAACCAATTATTATTTGTAAAGTGCTTAACAAAAGTGCCTGGCCCAGGGTGAGTGCTATGTAAGTGTGTGGTAAAACTGATCCCTCCCAGAGGCTCCCTGGACATCTTGGCACACTCTCTCTCTCTCTCTCTCTCTCAGTTCTCTGGCCCTGAAGAGATCCAGTGGTGCTGCCCTTCCATGTCTCAAGACTCATGAAGACCTAAGTGACTCCTGGACATTGAATACTAAGACCTTTCAAGTGAGTCGCTACATTTTCATTTTTTCTGATTATTACGATGAAAGAAAAACCTACCATCTCTGTCTTCAAAGGAAGGGTAGGAAGGTCTCCCATTTAGAAAATGTTAAGAGATATGGTCATGCATCACATCCGTATGAAGTACCACAGAGCATATGCAGAACTGAAGTGGCTTTTGCTGCCATGACTTAAGGATTCTTTGGATCATCTTCCGATCTCTTTGTGCCCCTAATTGGCCCACACCCCCCAGTGGCTGAAGGTCTGACCTGCTGATGATGCTCTTCATCTGGCTGTCCTTCTCCTCCTGCTGCCTGCGCAAGCGCTCCTCGCTGTCCTCCAGCCTGGCCTTGTACTCCAGCAGCAGCTTCTGCATCTGCTGTTCCTGCACCAGCAAGCGGCGTTCATATTCCTCCAGCCGCCGGCTGGACACGCGCAGGCGCTCCTTCAGCTTCGTGATTTCCTGCTCATACTAGAGCATAAGACAGGCATCAAAGACAAGGGAGGGGGGGAAACTGGAGTTACGTTGGTTTTCGAAATCAAGGTGTTTGGATGCTGTCTGAGCTGCCATTCCACGTGCTCCTAATATTCTTAAAAATGATCAAAAGGCATAAATGGTAAAGGAGCTCTGTCCTCTCTCCCCTTAAAATCACATTTTTAATCTGAACTTGGCATTTCGAATCTATATGTTATGTATCTCTTTCCACATTAACTACCAGTTGCTGCAAGCTACATCCAATCTGTATCAAATGGGGGCAGGGAAAAAAAAAGATCAAGTACTTAGAAGCCTGATAAATCACTTAAAATAAGCCCAAACCCAGTTGTCTACCAGAGAAAAGATTTGTGTATCATCAGCTGTACTAGAGGCTCTCTGACACATCCTGGCTCATCAGACTCTCATTCCTTCATTCTACTAGAATCAGCCCTTTAGAGAACAAGCGAATTTTCTATACTGTTACACTACTAACTCAATAAATAGAATCTGATGGCAAAGTAAGCTATTGCTGCTTTCTCCCCAACTATACAAGGGTAAAATATTCAGGTCACAAGCACTAAGCAAAAGGCCCACATATTCTCCAGGGCTGATTAATACTGCCTCTTGGCCCCTTTTCATGATGTGGTCCATCGGCTCAATTTGGTTCCGCTGGCTGGGACATATATGTCTGTTTTCTCACTAAAGCTTTATATAAATATATATAAACTAAAGCTTTATATAACAAATTCTCACTAAAGCTTTAGAGAACCCCAGCCCTTTCTCGTACTGACAGTGCAGTAGCTGAGGTGTCAGTACATTGGAATGTCACATTTCTAGGTGAGGTGAGAAGCATAAGCTTTCTTGCATATGGTCTACTTAAATTCATTAGTAATTCAGGATAAATCTGTACGGTAAAATGCAAACTATTTTCACAGAATATCCCATTTAATTGACAATCAGGCAGTTAGCTTCTGCTTACCCAACATCATGATCCTAAAGTACATTCTTTATCCAGAAGGTCAAAGATGACAATTTTCACGACAGTTTAAAAAGGCAGACTGCATCAATAAGCATATTTTAGGATCATGCTGCTAAGTAGGCAGGACTAGCTGTGTGGTTGTAATTAAGTGAGAGACTGCCATACACGCTGTCAAGCCTCTTATTTGATAACCCTTTTCCTCCATGTCAACTTTTCTTTAAAACAAAACAGAAATAGATTATATCTGTTTAAAAATCAATATAGAGCTAGAAGTTCTTTAACCAGTAAAGGCAAAAAGGCAAAAAAAAAAAAGACAAAATCATTAAACAAGATCTGGGAAAGAAGTCTAGTCCAAGGATAATTTTGGTCTTTGTTGAAGACTAACAACCAGTTTATAGAAACAATATTCCCCTTCAATGACTGGAAATGAATAGCAGAATGTCTCCAAATTAAGATAACTTACGTGAAAAGAAAATTAATCCTCCCACCCCAGCGTAATAGACATTTTCTGCATATTTTCGCACAGAGACACTGCTGACTTGTTATATACAGATGTGTATATGCTGGATAATGTAAGAGGTAGAGTTGAAACCGGGGAGGGGAAGAGATCATGTTGGCTAGACTACCCTTCTGGTGGCCTATCCCTGTGGGTGCAAGAAGTTAACAAAGACAGGCTAGTTCTACCTTCTCAGCATGCTTGGATTCATCTTGATTTTGCTCAGTCTCTTCCACATCCTCTTCATACTGCCCATTGTTCAGCACCCAGGCTGCTGTCCTCTCTACTGGGGACATTGTGGCAGAGTCCACAGGGGACTGCACCTGCATCAGAAACACTTATTAGCATCTCCCCAAACAGCTCACTAGTTTGGTTTCTCAAACAGAGTTATTCTTGGAGGACAAAACTGTGACCTAATAAATACTCTCAGTTCTAAGTAATATTTTATTAAAGACAGGGCTGGGGGTGAGGAATATCTACTTACATAAGAATTAACTATTCTGAATAGAAATTCCTATGCATCACATCCAAGAAAAGAAAGCCAAGGCCTTAAAATTGTTCATTAGTCCAGTGGTCCAATTACCAGTGAAATTTCAATGATGGTAAGAACGAGAGAAAAGACCTGACCTGTTGGTTGACTGCTCAGCTGAGGAAATGGCTGTGTAACCCAGAGACGATTGGGAACCAATAAACTGATTAATGCTAAACTCACAGGGTACCCATTTATTTATCAGAATGCCAAGTCCATAATTTTCACATTAATCATTTAGACAAAGAGAAAAAAACAAGTGATACTGCTCATTTTTACAGAGTGCTGACTTCTTGATGGATGAAGACCACTCAGAAGTCTATATTTTATTTTATTTTAAAGATTTTATTTATTTATTTGACAGAGAGACAGCAAGAGAGGGAGCACAAGCAGGGGGATTGGGAGAGGGAGAAGCAGGCCTCCCGCTGAGAAGGGAGCCCGATGTGGGGCTCGATCCCAGTACCCTGGGATCATGACCTGAGCCGAAGGCAGACGCTTAACAACTGAGCCACCCAGGCGCCCCAGAAGTTTATATTTTAGACCAGTTTCTTGATGAATACAGGATCAAAACAATAGATATTGGATTAGTTTAAGGGATATTTTGATCCAGTTAGGATAGCCAGATAAATTGTCCTTTCCAATATTAATTACAGAGTGATAAGGATTCTGGCCTTAAGTAGCAACCCTGGGGCGCCTGGGTGGCTCAGTCAGTTGAGTGTCTGACTTTAGCTCAGGTCATGATCTCTGGGTTCTGGGATAGAGTCCCACATTGGGCTCTTTGCTCAGCAGGAAGTCTGTTTCTCCCTCTGCTCCTCCCCCGGCCCATGCTCGCTCGCTCTCACTCTCTCTCTCAAATAAATAAATAAAATCTTAAAAAAAAAAAAAAAGTAGCAACCCTGCCACTTAAACTATCCCTTAATCTCTTCAATACTCTTTTCTTAATCTACTGATTAGGGATATCACCACCATCACCGACACCACCTATCCTGATACAGAGAGTTGAAGGGACGGAATAAGATAATGTATGTGAAAGTCCTTTGGAAACTACAGAGCTTGGATGTTACCATATTTATGTTTAGAAAACTGGAATTGGATATTACAATTTATATTAAGCTATTGAACATTAAAGCTTTCTCTACAAATGATGCTAGAAATATAAAACACATTATTTTTCTCTGGTGTGCTTGCGAGAGAGAGAGAACGAGAGAGGCTGGGAGGGAAAGAAAGACAGAGAGAACACAGCATTGTATGTGAGTTAGCCTATTTATTTATTTATTTTAAAAGATTTTATTTATTTGACAGAGAGAGAGTGCGAGAGCGAGCGAGAGTGCACATGCATGAGCAGGGGGATCGGCAGGCACCGAGCCCAAGGCAGACGCTTCACTGAGCTACCCAGCTGCCCCTGAGTTAGCCTTTTTAGAATTAAAATAGATTTCTATTTTGAGGACCAACACTGTATAATCTCATAATTGGAGGGAATTTTCTCTCCCATGCAGAGCTATCTACCTTAAGATTATCTTTATGTCATTCTGAAATAGAATCCAGTTAAACTCTCTATAGATAGCTATTTTAAAAGAAGGTTTTTTTTTGATGACTTTGCAATTTAGAAAGACTAGATGAAAAATACTGGTTGGGAGAAACTCTACAAAATACACATACACAAGTCATAGGAGGGTGGTTCTTAAAGGTGTGAAACAGAACCTGGTTTGACTGATTTGCAAACAGATTACAGATATGTATCAATAAAAAGTGGCATCACACCTGAGGCACAAGCAAAGCAATTGTTAATGGACTTCTAGAAGTTCCTCCTTTAAAGCCATTTTCTCCACTGTGTCAAGAAACATAAACATATCTTAAATGTCAAGATCTTCAGTTTTTAAAAGTCTATTTCCATCTCCACTCTGGTATCTAGGTATGTTGTATACTTCATTCATTTGTGTATCACTTTATTATTTTTGTCATAACCACATCATCACTGATATATTACTTATCCCTTTAAAACAACTTTTTCCTGTCAGCGGAGTCCTTATGCTAAGCAATAACATCAGTACAATCATGAGTTTGAGGTTATATATATATTATATATTTATAAATATATTTTAATATTAATAGTTACATATTTTTCTAACACATGTTAAAATAATGATATGATTAATTAAATAAACATCTTGTATACTTAAATAATTTTGAGTATCAAACTTTGGAAACACTGGCCTATAGGACAGAGTATCATCTATAAAGGAAGGTAATAATTATCCACATCAGAAGTTACTATGAGAAACAAATGAGTCAGCATGTAAAAGCATTTTGGAAATGGCAAGGTACTTCACACACACACACACACACACACACACACACACACACACACACGTTCACCCCCTACTGGATTCTAAAAGCAGAGCACAAAAAATTGTTTCAGCATTGGCAGAGAAAAATAGTTTTACAAGAGGTTTAGGTTTTTATTTGATATATGTACACCTGAAAGACAAAAGAATGTGATTCTGAGTTTCAAAAAATTAATAGAAAGCCAGTATTTAAAGGAGATAAACCCTTTTTAAATTTTATAATCTTACCACGTTAGCACATAGGGCACAGAAAAGCTGCTTTTCTATGAAACCAGGATTTTCTATTTAATAGTGGTTTGAGATAAAGCAGGTATTAAAACTAGTAACAACTTTACTGTTTGGAATTTATTACTTCAAGGCAGCTAATTCAATAGCTTTCTGCTTTATACAGTTAACAAGATGTTGCGTGAATGGACTTTCTTTCCCTGTGATTTGTCATGGGGTAGCTATTTATTGAGTGCCTATAAATGCACTGCACACTAAAGATATTCCTAGAACACACTAAGGAGAGATCTTAGCCCCTAAAAGCATATTAAAACAACAGCGACGACTCCTTAGCACAATCTAGGCTTTGACTGTTAAGTGAGAAGCTGTAAAAACAAGAGTTGGTTCATTCCACTGGTGATGGTGGTAGTTACCGTATCTTCAGAAGGACTAACAATGTCCAATGAATTATAAGAGATTGTGTGATGGAATGGGACATTTGGGTCTATTCCTATTTTATTGGTCGAATCTGATTTTCAACCACTTCCTAATATATCCGAGCATTCTGCATGGCGTATCGTAGGAGGTCATTAACTTTGAAAAAAAATATTAACTATTCCTTGTATTCATGGCAAAACCTTTACAACATCATAAAGAACAGAAAAGTAATATTGAACAAATAAAAAATAGTTAAAATAGAGGTTTTTTTTTTTGTTTGTTTCTTTATTTAGAAAACTATATACTGTCTCTTCCTTTTTTTTTCCTATTGGTTTTATGTGTGCTGGTCTTATTTCCCAATTAGATGGTCAATCCTTGATGCATGGCACCATATTATACAGTTTATTTTTGAATGGTAGCAATGTAATTGCACAATATATGCTCAATAAAATATTCATTTATTAATACTCTGGCTCTCTTTAGAATTTATTACTAAACTATACTGTACTACTAAGAGAAAGATACTATATGTTTTTCCTCTAATCCTTTGGAAGTGCATCAAAGGCTTTTCTTCAATGATTGCTCCATCTCCTTTACAAGCTAGCAAAGATAGCAAAATTTGTTATCTCTAGTTTTCATTAGTAGTAGTTATTTAGTTATTATTTAGGCATTATTACAGATAGGAAACTTTATTATCTCTGGTTTAGAGTCAAAGAGATTGAGAAAAGAGGTTGGGCAAGGGCTTCAAATCCCATTTTGCTTAGCTATAGCCTTAGGAAGAGTATTTATATCCACTGGCTTTCAACGGTGGATCATTAAAGAAAAGGAAGGATGAAAAAGACAAAAAGAAAAGCAGGAGGAATTCCTACTAGGAATATCTCTGCTTTGAGATAAAGCCGTCTAGGGTTTCTCTGGGAAAAATACTAATGCTTTAGGGCAAAAGGGCCTGAGACAGCAGTTTCTCTGATCCTGTCATCAGCCAAAGCCTGGCTACGCTGAGGACAATGGAGAACAGGCCAGTCCCCCTTACGTGCTAGTATTTACTAGCTATAAATAAGGCTTGTTGGTTTCAGCTTCTCCAAATCTGAAACAGTCTGGTTCTCATAGTGAAGAGCACTTCCGCTGTCAACACCAAGAGAGGGCTGACTAAAGTCAACTCTGAGGGTCCCTGAAGAGGCTGGTTAGGAAATGGTTCAACACATCCCCACGTGATAGCGGCAGCATCCTTCCAACAGGACTGTTAAATTTGAATTTTTTATTTTAAAAGCCTCTTCAAATGTGAATTTTTAAGGTTCCATAACATGCTATATCTGAACACATACACTGTAAGTACAGTCTATTATACACAGATAGTACATGATACATGAAAAACAAAATGGAGGAAAATGAGGGGGAAAAAATCCAAATAAAGGCTGAAAAGGGTAAAAAAATTTGAAGGCAGTATCCTGGAAAAAAAAAAAAAAGACAAAACAAAACAAAAAACCCCTCTCTTTCCTATAGATTGTTTCACTAGGAGTTTATTTCCTTCCTACTCAGTATGTATATGAAGACCAAAGCCAGTAATGCCGCCAACAATGGGCTCTCCTTTGTGCTAAGATACAGATGGAATTTGCACGGGACAAAGCCACCAATAATTAGAGACGCCTACAGAACAATCCCCACAAAGAAATCCTCTAGTTTTGGGGAGAGAAGAATTCCCCAACACAATTTGCAATTACAATATGCAAAGGAATTTGCCAAAAATGTGCTGATTATATAGAAATTCAGAGGCTTCATGGGAGTGAGAGGAGAAAAGCAAGAAACCAGAAGATAAGGAATAAAAAATAACAACATAAGTTTGAAAGAATAAACCATCTGCATAGAAAAAGCCCATGTAGAGAAACCAGAAACTTGAGCAATAAAAAACCCGTGATTTATGCTTGAACTGCTGTGATGGCGGCATTACCAGCAAAAGCATAAACAAAGATGAATACATAAAGCCGTACTAGGCCGTCTCACTCTGTGCCTCACTTCGCACCAATGTAACAAAGACATACCCCAATTCATTGATGGCTTGTGGCACAAAACACTTTTAAATTGGTTGTTTGTAGACTGTACGCATTTCCTGCCTCCCGTCTCTCCAGACGGCCTTCTATTCACCCATAGAAACATGCACTAACTGCTTGTATGATGGGTGCTAGATTTTCCTACACCTAAATATTATAATGACAATTGGTTCCAGATGGTCCCACAGAAGGCTGTGTAATTTGTAATATTTATAAACCAGCAGTCTGAGTCTCGGGCCCTGGGAACTGAGGACTACATGATACAGGGGAATGGGTTAGCATTCCTCTTTTCTGTCCAGGGCTGGGCCCGAGTCAGCTTTTGAAAAGCAAGTTGGAGGGCCCTTTCCGCTGTCCTGTCCCTCTCTGCCAATCCGATATTCTTCTCTACTCCCTATCCCATCCTCAGGGACCCCATGCTACAAACCCCCCCACCAGCAGATGTCTGCCTCCACACAGTACTTCATCTCTGAAATTACTTATCTTTCCTTTCTCCTCTCAGTAAACACTTTGATTCTCTGAAAGTAGTTGATCTCAACTAGAAGCTAGCATAAAAGCATCGTGTGGAAATGATCATGATAAGGTGTGAATGACCGCCTTCTGACAAATTAAATATATTGATATAATAGGACATACATATGAAAGATATGGGTATGCATAAGCATTTTCATTATATGTAATCTTCTTTCCTTTTCTTTAAATGAAAAAGCTTATTAAATCAAAAATGAATTGGGGGAGTGCCCGGGTGGCTCAATGGGTTAAGTGGCCAACTCTTGGTTTCGGCTCAGATCATGGTGTCGGGGTCCTGGGACTGAGCCCTGTGTTGTGCTCTGTGCTCAGCGGGGAGTCTATTCAAGGATTCTCCCCCTCCTTCTCCCCCCGCTCATGCTCACTCTCTCTAAAATAAATAAATCTTTAAAAAATCAAATGAATTGGGGAAATATAAACAAAATGAAAATGAAAAATTTAAGACTGAAGGAATTTCTCTGGAAACTTCTCCAGAAAGAATGACCAACTAGGAGGTTCTGCTCAGGAAGTCGGCTGTGGGAATCCGCTTAAGTTAGTCGTGCTTTTCATCTCTTCCTCTACTTCTGCATCCCAGGATTCTGTCAGTGTGCTAATTGTTTTTAAAACAATAACTATCAAACTAAGGGCAAGGCCTCTGATTACAGCAGAATGGAAGCAGAAGCAGCCAAATCAGTAAATGCCTTACCTATAAAAAAAGCCAAATATATTAAAAAGATACACTGGGGTTTTATTGCAGTCTCCTCTGACCAGTGGTTTTGCTGACAAAAGGATCTGTCATAGAACTCTTTCAATCACAAAGCTCCCTATTACTTATAAAGTATGATTAGGTTTCAAAAAAAGGTCAGCAAATACAAAGGAGAAAAATCTTTTTTAGATGAAAGATATTAATGTATACATACACATATACATGTATTGCTCAGGTTATTAGTTTGTTCCCAAAAGCAAAATATGTATTGGTGCCTCAAAATGTAGTATGTAGGGAAGTCATGAATAATTAAATTCTTGGGAAAACTTTTTATGTGTCAAGAAGAAAAGTCTGGAAATCTTAAGACTGGGTGTGACACTAGCTGGCTTACCAATGCAAATAGAAGGGATTTGTAAATGGTTAGTGTACCTGTCAACCACCTGTGTTTCTATCCTGTTCCCTCTCTCCTTTACCTTGCCTTTAGAGGTGTTCAGTTGTTTATTTTTCTGGTCATTTCCAGGAAAAGGCACATGAGACTTGTTATGTCCAGAGGGAGGTGGGGGATGGAGTAGAGAGCAGTTACATTAAATGCTTGGCTCAGAATGCCAAAGTTTATTCTGGAAACTTAAGGGAAAAAAAAAAAATTAAGGAGGATTAATGTCCAGATTCCCCAAATATATTCTAGTTGATCTGACCTATAGGTTTCGTAGTTCATGTGTTCTAATTATTCATTCAACCCTGACCTGTTCTCAGTGCAAACCCAGGTAGCAGCTCAGCTGCTTGAAGAGAAGGAAAAGCCCTCTGCGTGGCTGTCAGTCTCCTGAGGGGAATGAGTCAAGCTATGTGCTGCTGCCTCACCTTGCCAGAAGCCTCCCAGACTTTTCACTTCCTCTTTCCATTTCAAAGTTGCAGAAACTATTTTTCAGTGGAAATGCTGCTAGCAATTGGATTTCCTAATGATTTCTATACAAAGAACCAGGGAGACAGCTGGACCAGTAGAAGCCAGACCCCTCCAGCCCTCGCCCCTACCTGCTGTGTCTGTTGTCTCTGGATCGCTCTCACTTTGGGCACGGGGCTCTCTCTAGAGGAGGAGGACTGCTGCCGGGACCGGCTCCCGTTCTGCAGAGGTTCGGCCACTAGCGCCGCAGACGCCACCGACATGCTCCCCGTGCTCCGTAAGGAAGCACTGTGCGGCAGGGACGGCAGGGCTTTGGCTCGGGCACCTAACCCAGCCTGGTCCATCTTCCGGATGGGGGCCTGCCCGGTACTACTCTGCCGTGGCAGAGCAAGAGGTATGTGTCTGTCCGGCACAGTGTGCCGCCTCGAGAAATCCTCGCTCTGGGTGCTGCGTTTGGTGAAGTCTTCCATGCTGCTATTGCTGGGCCCGCTGAGTTTGAAATCTTCGCTGTTACTTTGGCTTCTGGAACTGGCAGTGCTTAGATTCTCCAAACTGGAATCCACAGAGGCCTTTGGCATTGCTGGAATTGGGTTATTGAGGTGATAGACAGGGTTCTGGAATGACAAGGGCTGGAGGCTGCCTGGCTGGTTCAAGGCTGGGTGCAGGGGCCTTCTCACTTGGGGTGCACTCTGGGGGGTGCTCTGGGTTTCCCGCAGTTGTTTGATGCTGGCCACCTGGGTGATGGAAAGCTGGCTTCCAGTTAAGCGCATAGGCACATCAAGCATGACAGACGCATGCTCCACTTGAGCAGCGTGAGGGTCCTGAAGGTCCATGAGGGAGATGCTCCGACCGTTAGGAAGGCTACTTTCCTTTTCATCCTTTTCAGAGTAAGTCATGCTCTGGGAGGAGGCTTGCTGAACCAGCAATAATGTTTTCCCTCTGAAATAGCTATCTGTGTTGTCCTGGCTTGGAGATTTTAGCTTATGCAAATCACTGTGGAAAAAGAGGACCCTTAATTACTCTGGAGGCAAATTCAAAATAGTTAAGATTTCTCAATCCAAGGCATATGAACATTTCTGAAGGCTCCAGGCCCAATGTGGATACTTATGTTGGTTTCTAAACTCAGATTTCATCATTACAATTCTTAAAAATCCACATTTTTAGTTTTTCTCCAAAGGTGGGGAATAACACTGTGTATACCACTCCACCACTGTCTTTGATTTTTATTAGAATTCCAGTCATTTCCTAGTTAGGTTTTAAACCCTCCCGAGGTATTCCAATTCATAGTTAATTGGTTCTGTCTAAACCTTCAAGAGGAGGGAGCAGCGCTGTGTGTACAACCAAAGGGTGCCTGCTAAAGGCCCAAGTCTTGCCAATCCAGAAAAGAGGGTCAGTCTAAGCATCAACATTGCATCTACCTATCCAGCTGACACAGTTAAAATGACATTAACTGAGGTTCTCTAGATTTTTGAGTGCTACAATATATGAAAATATAAATTTAATCTTCTCCCATTAAGGTGGACTTAGGGTGCTCGCTTCGGCAGCACATATACTAAAAAAAGGTGGACTTAGGTTTTTTTTATGTTTGTTGAATATAACTCTACAATGTCATTCTAGAAAATAAGTATCCTAGATCTTGTGTATTATTATGATAAACAACTGGATTATCTCAGGCCAGATGATTCTTTCCAACTGATGACTTTCAGGTTGTAAATTCAACAAATAAGTTAAATAGATATCTGCCAAATCTCTAAGCATTATCTCTCTCTGAGACAACAGTTTTAATTCTCTTTCATACCTGTCAGTGGGGTCTTCAAATATTTTCTGCAGCCCAGAGGAGAGGCTTCCACTGACATTTGGACTGGAGTTATGCTCAGTGAAGCGTCTCAGTTGCTGTTGTATTGGTGTAGGATTAGTCAGAGACTTGGTAATATCAGCAAGAACTCGAGGCAGAGGTCCCAATTTTGCCACGGTCGCCTGTAGGAAGGAATTTTCACCCTAATTGGATAATAAGCATTGCGACATCCACCAAGGATTGTTTTTGGGACAACGATGCCCATTGATGGAGGGGTGTAGGTTGGAGGGAAGGGTAGGTGTTTGCATATGGGAGTGGCAGGTTCATAATGCATTGTTATGGAGCAGCAGAACCATGGCGTCGAGATGAATGGAGGAGGCGAAACAAGGTGCAGCAGACATCGAGGAAAGAAAGGAAATAGAAATTAGGATTATGCAAATAAAAATTAAAAGACATGCTCAAAACAACCAAACTATTGCCATTCCAACTAAAATAGGCATGCAAAGCAAACTAAATCTTTGGGAGGCTAGTAGATCAAGGTGGGGGGGGTGGGTAGGGGAAGAACCAAACACCTTCTAACCAAAGGACTTCAAGACCAGAGGATTGGCTAGTGTGATGGAACTTCCAAAGAAAAGGCATCGTGTGAGAAAAGAAATGCATGCCAACATACAAGAAGGTGTTGCATTCAGGGGTCTGGAGCACTGCAGGGCACACAGTTGATATTGCCATCCACTATCCCATTTACTTTTGGGAACTCTGACCTATTGTCAAGACAATCTTTTTTTAAGCAGCAATATCAGGTAAACTCTCTCTATGGGATGTGTCTAAGATTCACCCTGATTCCCAGGACCAAACACCGATGAAAAAGGAGAAGGCATGTTTACTTAGCAAAGCCTGTTAAAAAGGCCTTGACCCTAAATCAACCAGGTCTATTCCATAAAATTACTGTATCCGCATCCCACTGATGTGGTTACTCGACAAAGAGTCACTTTTTAGTATTGGCTTTATCCATCTCAATCATTTTCTTCTTTGGGGAATTCTTATCCTCATGGAGTCTTATGCGACTCCTCAACTCTAGGACAGCTTTACGCGGCTGCTTCTGGGTCTCCTGTGTCTTCTCCACAACTGAGACTCTTCATCTCTGCTCAGATGGGTAGAGTGGCTGGTCAAATGCCACCCAAAGAATAGCCTTTACTTGCTCAACTTTCCTGAGCCATGATTCATTTTCAAGGAATTTATCCTCAGTACAGCTGCAACTCAAAGTCTAGCTAGCAATTCTACAAGTGAAGAAGGGGTCCTCAAGAATACAAAACAGTTTATTATTTTACAAATGGTAGGACACCCTACCATTTACATTGCCTCAGGAAAGTGGTCTTTACTAATAAGTCTTACTCCCCCCATTTTATTGGTACAACATTGTTAAGGATAATAGGAAAATGGAGGAAAACAAATACATTCTTATCACAAAAAAAAAAACCTTTGTCTTTTGAAGTTATTCTAACATTCCACCACACCTATTTATGAAGTACCTGTAGCAAACAAAAACATCAATAAATAATTATTGTGATAAACCTAGCTAAAGTCTAAGACTACTTTCCATTACAAATTCTATTTCTCTTTGAAAAATTCCAGAAGGAAGAAAATGATTGGCATGGTATATATTTAGTTATAAATATGTAATTCTTAGCTTATACTCAGAAAATAAATGATTAAAAGCATTTTGTTTTTTAAATTCATATCTGTAGAGAAAGAAAACATCAGAATTTTCAGATCCCATGTAACTCAGTAGTACTAATAGTTATATTGAACCCTCTGACTTGCATTATAAAAGAGTCTCGTGAGTAAAACTAATTAAACACAATAATCTCGGCATTTTTCTAAGTCCACAGTTTTGTTAGAATTATTATAAGAGGTTTCATCACCTCATCCTGCTATACATGAATAAATCTGCACTTAGCAATGTTTGATGTTAGTTTCTAGGGAAGTTTTTAGACATGTTATATATAATGTTCCATACATATATTTATTTATTTATTTATAGAAATATATACTCCATTAATTCAGATAATTAGTTAAAAATATACGTTAATAATTTCACGGCCTTCTAGAATTTTTGGTTTGCAGGGCACATATTTTACTAGGAATTGATAACTATTTACTCCCAGACTTCTAGCACAAAAGGTTGCTTTCAACTAGCAGAAAGCATGAATGCTGTCACTCTGTAGATACTCTCCAGAATTCAGGTATATTCAGGTTCTCTAACTCCCATCTCCCATTATGCTTCCAGCCTACTTTACCTTATCAAGTTGGGAAACTACTTCCCACAGTAAGGAATGCAAAACTGAAAGCTCTCGGCCCAGATCAATGTAACCATCAAAGCCTGGGGTGTTTGAGATGGTGTCTGGATTAGAGATCTCCAAAAGAAAGCGCTTCATTCCACCCCATTCATGCTCTAAAAAATCATTCATGAATGCCATGTATTCTTCTTTGTTACCAAATCTGAAATAGAGGAAGAGAAAATGGGAAAGGACATATTCAGGAAAAGAGATGTTTGAGTTGATTTTACACTGAGCTTTAAATTTTTTATTTTTTTAAATTTAATTTTTTAAATTTAAATTCCATTAGCCAACATAGAGTACACATCATTCGTTTTAGATATAGTGTTCAATGATTCATCAGTTGCATGTAACACCCAGTGCTCATCTCATCATGTGCCCAATTTTTTGTTTTTATGTTGGGGAGGTAAGTGACTAATTTATAATCTGTAAGTGATAAATGCTAAAACATACTTTCTTAATACTGATGTAAAACTCAAACACTTTGCATAGCTTTCTATTCTCTGTCAGCTAAAGCTAAACCTCTTTTCTTCTGGTATTTAAAGCTCTCTGTAAATAACCTTCATTTGCCTACCAAATGCTCATCAGTATAAACCTTCAATATTGCTAGCTTCTTCAGAGTCCCCCAAATATATGGTGCTTCTCCAAGCCTTTGCTCATGGTATTTATTTTCGTTATAGAGGAACTTCTCTTCTTTGTCTCTCTAAATTCTAGGTATCTTCAGGGCCTTGCTTAAGCCCAGAAAACTTCTTCCAAAATAAAACAGAAATAATTTTTACCAGAATTAACTCAAATAGGGTAAATATGTCTACTTCTGTGTTGGCTCTTAAATAGGATACACAAAGTTAAAATAGTGCACTTCTAAAAGCCACTATTTATACTAGAAAACAATCTGTCTCACCAAAGTTCTAATTTTTTCCTTCAACACACTGCTAATAGAGAATCTTGTCTTTTTAGAAACAATGAAAAGTGGCAAGAAAAAGGTGTGAGTGGACACACTCTGCCACCCAAACATATCTGCTGTTTACAATTCAAGTGCATTTCCTCCCCAGTGGTTTCCTAACTCCCTTTCAAAAAATTTTAAATCTATCGAAAAGTTGAAAGACTATATAACAAACAACCATATGCATTCATCTACATTAACCAACTGTTAACATTTTGCCAAGTTTGCTTTCACTTTCTCTCTCTGCACACACTTTTTTTTTGGCTGAACCATTTTAAACTAAGTTGCAGACATAAACTCTAAATACATTAGCACCCATTTCTCCAGAATAAGGAATATCTCTTACATAAACTAATGCCATTATCACACTAAAACTTTTTAAAAACATTATCCATAAATCATCTATATATAGTCCACATTTAATTGTCCCCAAATGACTTTTATAGATTTTTTTTTTCCAATTCAGATCCAATTAAGATTCAAGCATTGCAGTGTTTTAAAATCTAGAACAGTCCCTCTCCATCTTTTCAATTTTTCATGACATTGACTTTTTCTGAAGGGGCCAAGTCAATTGTCTTAGATAATGTAAACATTGAGTTTGTCAGATGGTTTTTATACTTAGGTTTTTGTATTAACATATTTTCTAGTATCCATTTTCTTTTTTGCTTAAGTTTTTAATGGCACTTTTCATTGAGTATAATTATATCTTCATCATATTCCATATTACTGGATATTTTTTATGAACACTGTGGTGGCTGCAAATATTCTACTGAATGCATGTACCATGGGTTATTTAACCACTCCTATAAAGTGAATATTTAAGCGGTTTCCTTCTTTTTTCCTTATTTTTAATACCACCGTGATGAAAATCTTGTAATATGAGTGATGAGGCTTCCCCACCCCCATCCAAATTTTAGGTATCACGTATTTTTTAAAACAATGTTTTTAAAAAGTGCCTAAGGTAGTGACACCTACTTGGCAAAGTTAGCCAGGTTCTGAATGACCTTGGCAATCAGAGTCAGGGTGCGAGATGTGCGGTCATCAGGATACTCCTGCATAAGGTTGAAGAGACTGGGAGACATGATGGCGGGGCACAGGAAACGGAGGAACAATGAGGCACTGATGAGCCGCTCACTGATGTCCTGCTTGCCGCGGTTCAGGCACTGCTGCTTCCAAGATGCAAACACTTCTCTCAACTCACGAGGGAAAACACTGGGGAAAGAAAAAAGATCAAACCTCTAAATATAAAAGGACCACAACCCAAGAAAACACAAGTGATCGCACTCTGGCCCAACACGCCTCTGCTCTAGAGACAGGCTAAGAGGAGAGCCTAGTAGAGAGAATTCTGTCTGATTCATGGCTTAGAGTTGGTGGAAAATTGACAAAAGTCCAGATGGAGACTGGAAACCCAAAGCTACAAAACTCAGGGATTAGTGTAAATTTAGTTTTGCAAAGTGGGAAAATGGCATGAGGCTCCTGACTAAACCATCTGGTTTAATAGAGCTTACCATAATCTCTCTAAAGAGTGTTCATCAAAACTCTTCCAAAAATCTCACTAATCGCTGGGGTTGGAGCAATGCAAAAATCATTAACACAACCGTTTAACACTAGCAAGTATTTTAGAAAGCCATTAAAATACTTTTGGTATTAGAGGATGTGGTGCTAAGACTCTGGGGAAATATTATATTTATGTAGAGAGTCAGTTCACAGGTACTGCTGCTTACACTGGAGATTTGGATCTTCGAGGGCACTCTATCAGGGAAACCTTCCATTTTCCCCCTCAGCCCTTCCTTTGGTTGGGAAATGGCACCGTTAACACTGTGATGACTTCTGCATGGAAAAATGTCAATTCCATACGCAGGGGCGGAAGCACTGACACCTGCTCACCAGTAGGAGTTGATGATCTTGCAGAAAGCCAGCTCACAGCACATCTTCAGGTTGCTCTGATGGTCTATCAGTTCACTAGAGGAACACTTGCTGGGGTCCACTTCGCAGTTCTCATCTGACTCATACAAAGCTTTGATGAACTCCCCTGTTTGAAGAGAGAAGATGACAGACAGTACAACTATGAGTAGTGTCCTCCTGAACAGAATAAAAGGATTTCGGATTTCTGTCCTTAACGTAGAATGGGAATTTCTTTCTGAGACTTGACGTGGAGGGCTCAAAGGATTGTTACTGCTTTAGAACCCAAGGGTTACTACCTCCCATATATCATGTTTATTTTCCTCATCCTGGAAGTGGAAAAACTGCAATCACTAACATCACCATAATGGTATTTATAAAAATAATAATGATACTAGTTTAATCAATGATATAATTTTAAATCTATTATCTAAAATCACAAATATATTTTATTAGCAGGAACTCATTATTTGTTATAAGGCCCTTTTACCAGGGTGAATAATGTTATTATTTTAGAAGACAAAAGAACCCAAGCTTGACTGAATAGCCCACCTAAGGTTTTTAGTGCTAAAGCTGGTGCCAAACATAGATTCAAGTAAGGGTCTCTAGACTTAATCTCCTGTGAAGGGGACAGTCATTCAACATAGCACAAAACTGGAGCAGAACATTTCTTTATATAATGTTCACCCAAATAAATTTAGTTTAGAAGCACTGTTCATATATTCCATCCTCTACAGAGATATGTCCATATTCCCTAAAAGAACAAATCCTTACCTTCCCTGTTTTTCCTCCACTATACATTATACCTTGTGTATGTTCTAGTGTTCCATGTCTCACACTGGTGATTGTTTGTTTACATGTTTGTCCCATGTTCACCTCTCTGGGATGAATACCCTCGGAGGTCAGAGGCCTGCTTCGATTCATGGTTGAATTTCCAGCCTATCAAACAGCTCCCAAAGCACTGCAGATGCTCAATATTTATCAGAGATGGTAGTATGTATTCTTGGGTTTTTATAGGTCTCTACGATCCTTTCAAATCTGCTTATATCTCTCAAGGTTTAGCCTAGTTCTAATAAATTTCACGAAGTGAACAAAAATTTCTGCAAAATTAGGTAGCAGCAGCAACACGCAGGGCATTTTCTATTAAAAGGGTTAGTAGTGAGGTAAGTGAAAGATTTTACAAAAAAGCTATAATAGAGGCCAGGAAGTGATTATTTGGAGGAAAAGTGCTTGGAGAACAGGAATTTAGTGCATAGAAAAAGTAAAGGTTTTGGAGCCAGACAGATCTAGGATCTAGCAGAGAGGACCTGTACTTTCTTTCTTTCTTTTTTTAAAATATTTTTATCTACTTATTTGACAGAGACACAGCGAGAGAGGGAATACAAGCAGGGGGAGTGGGAGAGGGAGAAGCAGGCTTCCCACAGAGCAGAGAGCCCAATGTGGGGCTCAATCCCAGGACCCTGGGTATCATGACCTGAGTGGAAGGCAGATGCATAACCGACTGAGCCACCCAGGTGCCCAAACTGGCAACTTTTAACTAAATTTTCTCTCAGAATTCTTCAGGCAGCCTGGAAACGGCATTTATTTTTTTGCCCAAAGTGTATGAAATATAATTAAACTTTAATTATTCTGAGTGCTCAGCTGTCCTTATTAATTTTTTGGTTTACTGAGACTTCACTGTGAAGGCTCTTTATATAATAATTATTATAAAACCTTCCTCAATTGTAGTATTAGAGGCTCCTGCCACAGTAATTACAGTTTCATATGAAAATAATTGAATTCTTCTCAGGTAACTGAAAATTGTGCAGTTCTTCAGGGTTACTATTTGAAAAATCACATTACTATCTCAAACCATATCAAATAAGTCTGAATTTACACTGGCTCCAAGACACACTCTGTAAGTTGTTTTCAAAAGAGAGTTTTTGTCACAAAAGTAAAATATAGGAGAAAAAACAGCCACTGAGCATCTAGATCTTAAGGCTAACTAGAAATGTGGGAAGTTAAGCGGGAAGAAGACAGTAAAATCTCCATCCTGAAGCATCTTACCAATTAATTTTGTTTATGCTCTTGTAGCCATTTTCACTACCTTGGTCCTTGCTCTTGGGTTATGAATCTGATCATAGAGATCTGTGTGAGGTTATCTGAGTTTCTTCTCATGCTCACTGAATTTTCATGTCTCATATAGCCCATCAGCTATTTAATTATTCTCTGTTCTATCAAAGCACTTGCATCTACTTTTCACTTTGGAAATTATTTATTTGGAAATCCTGTTTATTAGTACACTGAATGGCAGAATATAGATTTTGATTTTTAAGAAGTAGGTAGTCAACACATATTTATCCCTAGGTCCACAGAATGGAGACTATGGTTTGAGATGCTTCATCATTGCCTTTTATAAGGCAATACAAATCATTAAAGCAAGCCATGAGATATACTTTAGGATATGACTGTAATAAGCCCTTTTGGTGAGACTATGAACCTCTCTGTACCTTTCCCAATATCAATGAAAATCCATTTTCACTATTCTTACAAATTCCCATTAGATCTTAAACTAAAGCACATGACTTAGAGAAAAGACTATGAAGCTAGGAAGCAAGAAGAGAAGAAATTTAATTCTACAGAGTAGGAATTAATCGCTACTACACTGAGCCCACTTCATGTAAACACAGTGGGCCTATTTCTTGAACAGTCATTCATATTTTACCCCGTACAACCTGGTCCCAGTCCTCCTGATAGCAGTCCCAGCCACCACTAGTGATCTTTATTTTTTTTAAAGATTTTATTTATTTATTTGACAGAGAGATAGAGCCAGAGAGTACAAGCGGAGGGAATGACAGAGGGAGAGGGAGAAGCAGGCTCTGCACTGAGCAGGGAGCCCGATGTGGGACTTGATCCCAGGACTCTGGGATCATGACCTGAGCCGAAGGCAGATGCTTAACCATCTGAGCCACCCAGGTGCCCCACTAGTCATCTTTAAGTTGCCAAATGTGATAGCCATTTTTTTTTTAACCTCTGCTTTCCTCAATCTCTGACTCTATTGATGCTTTCTTCTCTTTTGGTGTCTAAGAGTCAGTATTTTCTTGCTTTGCCTGCATGTGTGCACACGTCCTTTCTCTTTGTGATCACTTCCCTGATTCCTCTTCTTCCTTCCATCTATATCATAAACCTAGGTGCACTGGAAGATCTGTAGCTTCATTTATCCCTCCACATGGGTAACTTAGTCCTAAATTTCCAAGAGACATCTAGACAGATGTCTTGGGATTTCTCACCTAGAACCCCTGGGATTTCCTACTAGAACTTCAAACTGAATACCCATGAAGTGGAAATATCACTTTCCATCTCTCAAGTCTACTGCTTCTGTGTTCTTTATTTCTGTCGAGAATCTCATTATCCTTCTAGTAACTCAAGGCCCAACATTCATTGTAATAGCTGGTCTCCAACTCCTACCCCGGCCCATTCTCACAAATTGACAAGTTGCCATGTCCCCTCAGCTCAACTTCTTTAATATTTCTCAGATCCCCCTTTCCTCTTATTCTTGGTGATCACATCATTCAGAGGTTCCTGATTTCCTGCCTTCCTTCTTACAATGACTTCTTAACTGGTATCTCTTTTCAGTCGCTTTCTTCACCAACACATTTTAATCATTTTGTTAAACTAATTCTCTTGAAAATACCCTGCTCAAAACTTACAGTGGCTCACCAGTGATTACTGTAAAATCTAAACTCCTCAGCCCAGCACTCAAGGCTCTCAACAAATTGGTTCTAATTGTTTTCTAATCTTTTTTGTTCTTGTTGACTTATTTCATTTTTCAGCTAATTAATTTTATTTCATACATGCCTGGTTCTCTCATACCTTTATGCCTTTTTGTCTGTGTGGTTCTTTCCCCTCTGCCAATTCCTGCTATTTCCCTTGTCCAATATCTGTTTTTATATAACCTTTCTACTCTTCAAGCTACACACACACTATTTATGTATCTTACATGGGAAATTTCATAATTCCATCAGCTAGAATTAATTTCTTTAATTCTCTGGAAAAGCACAGGATCTCCGTCTCTCTCTTTTTGGTTATAGGGATATCCTTATCTTTCTCATCTCCCTATCTTATAAACTCCTTGAGGGCAAAAATCTCTCCATTCATTCAACATAACTTACTGTCTACTCTTGACCGTCACATGTGACTACTGAGCACTTGAAATGTGCTAGCGCAAATTGGAATGTGTAACAAATGCAAAATACACACCAAATTTTAAAGAGTTAGTATGAAAAAAAGTATTATGCCTCACTAATAATTTTTATATTGATAACCTGCTAAATAACATTTGGATATACTGGGTTAACTATAATGTTATTAAAACTAAGTTTACCTATTTCTCTTTACCCTTTTCATTCTGTGACGACTAGGAAATTTAAATCACTCACATTATGTTTCCATACGATGGTGCTGCTCCACATTCTGTGGGAAGTACTAGGGATATGAAGATAAAAGAAATGACTATGTTCTTCAAGAAACTCGTGTCTGCTTTATCATGATGTATGTCACCCAGCACAGTGCCTTACTCTAGTGGTTTTAATGCCTGAATTTCATGACCAGATCTGAAATTCCAGGTAAGTGGTCTAGTCAGCAAGAACTACTGATTGGTAGGGGCGCCTGGGTGGCTCAGTCACTTAAGCATCTGCCTTCAGCTCAGGTCATGATCCCAGGGTCCTGGGATCGAGCCCCGCATCAGGCTCCCTGCTCTGTGGGAAGCCTGCTTCTCCTTCTCCCACTCCCCCTGCTTGTGGTCCCCCTCTCGCTGTGTCTCTGTCAAATAAATAAATAAAATCTTAAAAAAAAAGAAAAAAAGAACTACTGATTGGGCAAAATGTAGTAATTATTAAAAATTCTAGAGATCTTGAAGGCAGAAATTGGGAGTTGTGGGAACTGGCAAGAGTTTTTTTACCTTTTGATGCATGATAACAAATGTTAACATTTTCAAGATTTCAGTAATATATTTATATCATAACATAAATAATCAACACTTTGGGGGAAACAGGTACCCTCAGATCTAGTAGTGACATCCACTCATATTGTGTATCTTAGTGTCAAGAACTTGAGGGTCCTGGGGGTAGCTGCATATGCTGATGAGCTTTCTCTTTCCGTACATATTGGAATAAATCAACGTGTAATAAAGCAGTACTACTTGTGAGTACTAGAGAGACTTACAGCTGAAAGTCAAACTTTAACACTCTCGTCAGCTAGAACTAAGTAACATGCTGAATTTGAGCTCAATTTGTTTGTCCTACGAGGGTGAAATAACAAAATCAAAAGGCAAAAAAAAAATGCGTTTCTTCTCCATACCCAATGCGTCATGAAGATACTGTTGTCCCACCAACTTAAGGTATTCCTCAATGGATTTGGTGGCAATGGTGTTCTCTCTGAAGATCAAGACGTCATGCTCTCCACAGCGATCCACCTCAGACATCACCAAGTCGGTGAGAAAATCCTGGTAGAAAAATGTTCAATGAGGCACAAAGCAAATGAATAAGTAATACACATTGCAAGAAACTGAGGAAATATCGGACATCCTGGGAATGCTGCTTTAAAACTAAAGCTGCCTGATTCATTTGAAAGAAAAAAGTCAATCAGGATAAAAGCTTAATCACCCCAACCCGAAGTTTAAAATTCCTCCAAAGGTTTTCCATTGCACTTTTGATAAAGACCATACTTCTGCATGCGGCCCACGAGTCCCTGTATTTTCTGGTTTCTGTCCACCTTCCCAGCCTCCTCGTATACCATTCTCTCTGCATTCCATTCCAGCTGCAAGGGGCTTCTCTTTAGGCCCTCGAATAACACCAAGCCCTTTCTAACACATGATGCCGTCTATTTACCACAAAGCTTCTGCAAATGCTGTTCTGCTTCACTCCTACCCTCGCTCCTGCCCTCACTGTCATGGAGTTAATTCCTCAAATCCTTTGGATCCTCATTTGTACCTCATTTCTTCAGTGAAGCCTTCTCTGAACCAGCATCAGTCAGGTCTCCTATTCCCCACTCTCATAGTGCCATATATTTTTCCCCCTCTGCATTTCTCACTGTAATCACACATTTATTTCTGTAAGTACTTAATTATTATCTGTTTTCCCCCAGAAGACTGTAAACCCCATGAGGCCAAAGACAGTGTCTATTTTTAGTCATTTCCAGATCTTCAGCATTTAACAGTTTCTGGTACATATTAGATGTTCAATATATAATAGTTATAAATTGGTCCATGGTGTTAACGTGGAATTTCTTAAACTTAACACTTGAACTCATTTTCTAGGCTAATTATCTGTCTATCTGTCTGTCTATCTATCCATCTATGTATCTCCATCCATCCATCCATCCATCAATCCACCCATCTATCCAGAAAAAAGGCGTAAGGAGAAATAAAGCCCTTAAGGAATAGTTGGTTCATTTCTCAATAGTCTTAAAGATTAACTTGATGTAAAATTCAATGTTTATTATTCTTTAGTTTAAACGCAGTAACATCATATGTGGAATGTTATATATTCATTGGATATTTCAAAGTCTCCAAAACCAAAAACAAAGAAAATATGTTGATTTACTTTTACTTGAAAATTAAGCATTTTGAACATTAAGGGGATTTACTCTGTGGCAGTTCAACAAAGTAAGAGTTACAAATGTAGGAATCACTATTACAATTCATGTGCTAAGGAACAGGAGGAAACTTATGGGGGTGATGGTAACATTCTGTATCTTGACTGTTGTGGTTTCCATGGGTGCATAATATGTCAAAACTCATTGCACTTTCCACTTAAAATGGGTGTATTGTACATAAACTGTACCTCAATAAAGTTGTTTAAAAAATATCATATACATATGATATATATTTAGATAAGGGACTGTAGATTGAATATACTGATATATTATTCTGATTTGTATCATGAAATCTTAAAAGCACTTACTTTTATTGTTTGGTTCTAAATAAATTACTCTAACTGTGAACTCTAGATCTAAAATACAATTTTACCGTGATCCATTTGCATACAATATAATGAAGACTCAGCCTAGCGAATATGCCTCACAGAGATGGTAATTATCATAGTTTAGGCTGATCAAAGACTATCAGTTGGTTGGTTTTCTTCATATAATTAGCATATTTCTCTTTTTCCATCTTCCTGAATTTTTACTTCTATCCAGGATGAAATGAGGTTAAGATTATCATGAAACAGCTACTAATCAATATCCCTTGGTATTTTAATTCCATGAAGACTCTTGTTGATGCCTACCGGGCTTCTGGAATACCTCCTTCTGCAACTAGGGAATAGAGTCATCAGTTAATCTTAACTTAAAGTATAGCAAGGAGTATAACCATCATTCAGCACACTCTGGAACTAATCTTGAACACACTGTGGGATTAGCACACCAATGGTACCATTTCTTTTGTCAGACAATAAAGAGCTCTCCCTGGTATCTATGTTTCATGCAAATGGACTTTAAATAAATATCTGCTCGTTTCTCCATGTTACTTCCTTGTTTTATAATCCCCAATCCCTGGATCTACTACTACTACTACTAGACTTCCTTCTTAATTTTTTTTTTTTTTAACCAATAGCAAAGCATACTTCTCCAATCTGGATCTATACATGAAACATAGTATATATGCTTCTTCATAAAAGGTAGGGAAGAGATTTTGGCTAATGCAGCCCTCCTTTTCCACTTACCTTGGCTCTGCCAGTACTCTGAAGAATGTGCACTAAGGCACAGGCCAACTCCTCCTTATTTCTCACACTAATTACTGGTTCAAGGACAGAACACAGCATGGTGTAGTTGCTGGTGACAAATTCTGCAAATTCTTTGTATTGCTCCATAGGCAGAATGGTGATAGTTTGGAAACGTGATTTAATCCGAATAGAAGGTCCTCCTGTCTTTCCTTTGTTGGGTGTAGGGGTACTCACTGGATACCACTTTTCTACAAATTGACGACCAGTCACACTGGCAGTGGGAATGTTGACTAGCCCTACATAATTATTCTTGTCTTTTTTCTTCTTTTTTTCCACATCTTTATAAATGTGAACTGTGATGCTATGAAGAGGTGGAAGGCTGTAGAATTCAAAATGTTCACCCCAGAAAATATTATCTGCTTTGGTCTTGCTGGTTGTACGAGCAAAGAGGGTATCATCAAGGCACAGTTCACAGAAATATTTCTTTTTAGGGGCAAGGTCCTTGGCTTCAATGATCCATAAACGAAGAACATTTTCAGCTCGTCTGCAATTGTCCTATAAAAAAGCAACAAAGTAGAGTTGGAAAGCTGAAGTCCCAGAAAAACAACATTTTCCTTTTAAAGGTGATACTGGCCAGGCACTTTATTAAGGGTAGTCATTAAATAATGAAAGGGATTGCTTTCCCTTTGTTCAGGATAATAGCAAGCTCTAAATAAGAAGATATTAGAATCTTAGCCTCATACACTCAATTTACTTGGGTTAAAAAAAATATCATCCTGTAATGTAAGTTCTAATATAGCCAGTCTAGTAGCAACTGGCCCAGTTTATGCAAATAAAAGAAGAGATAAGTAGTTAAGAAACTAGTGTTCTAGTCCCACTTCTGTCATGCACCAGCTTCCGACCTGGGCACACGATGTAACTTCTGAGTCTTCTTACCCACACCAGTAAAATCACAAAAATATCTGCAATAAGATTATTTTGAGTGTAAAGTGGCATAACACATAAATAAAAATTAAGGTGTGATTGCCGCATTTATTTTCTATCAACTTACTGCTTACAGAGTTAGACGTTTCTTAGACACTCAAAGCCACTGTTACCTTATTTGGCTGAACTGTCCTACGAAGGTTTTCCATCCACTTATCTCTCTCTGAAGCAGAGTTACAGCTGAAGCATTTACTTCCACTTAAGTACGTAACCTTCAACATAAAGATTAGAGATAAGGAAAAGGAAACAGGGTTTGGGGGCTCTATTTTTGTAATTCTATCATTTATGAGTTAGGAATATGCTATGAACCCAAATCATAACACACAAAATGGAAATGATATTTGGTAGTTCTGTGATATCTCTATTCTACATCTGCATCTACTTTTTGTTCTCTCACGTAGGGAGCATCCGCACTCATTTCCGGGTAGGAGAACAAAAACCATTGAGAATTCAGGTCAGGAAACTAAAACTGGCCTTTGGTTCGGAAAGATCAAAAATTAAAAACCTTCCAGGCTTGAAAACAAATACACTCAATCCTGAGTGAATTAACAAAATAATAACTGAAAATGCAAGAGAGCCTCTAAAATAGCTTGTCAAATTTCTTGGGACTGCCTTCGCTGTAATATTACAGAAAGGGTACTCCATGAAAGTGAGAAGAATTAGCAGTACTGAATTAATGTTTTGGAACCCATTTCTCCTCCACTAGGAAACTGGCTTGTTCATTTCCAGTTACTGACCACTATTATCGTTGTCCTTTAAAAATGAACTATGCTCTTTATATACTTAGCACCTTAACACTGGGCCTGGTACACAGCCTGTTGAACTGAGCTCCACAAATAGGGAAAATCCACGTGACTTTTGTAAAAAAGAACACCAATAACTGACCTGTTCGAATACTTCGAGTATGCCCACATATTAACTCAATCTATGGTTACAACCTAGTGAATCAGATCAGATTATGTGTACTGTTCAGTATGGTAGCTACTAGCCACATGTGGCTAGTGAACACCTGAAATGCAGCTAGTCCAAAACGAGATGTGTTGTAAACGTCAAATAGACATCAGCTTTTGAAGACTTAGCTTAAAAAAATAAATAAATAAAAATAAAAAAATCTCATTGATAATTTTATATTAGTTACCTGTTAAAATGATGATATTTGGGTTTAATAAAATTTTCGATTTTCGATTACATATTTGGCTAGCATTATATTTCTGTTGGACAGGGTAGATGCATAAGAACAGGGGTCAAACACCTTTCAACTCCTACACGATCTATCACAGGATTCGTATTAGTCACTTAGTAAGTTCATGTTAATTAATTAAATCTTAACCCTAACAATCATACATACATACATATATGTATGTAATATAATATATATGTATGTATACGTATGTGTGTGTGTATTTATATGTAGTTTTACACTTTAAATTACAAATGGTCAATTGCGTATATTTAGTTTGGGAGGGAGAAATTACCTTATAAAAAGTGATGGTCATAATTTATTGGTGAAGAGCAATTTATTCATTCAAGAAATTAGGTACCTGCAATGTGCCAGGGACCGGGCTGTGTGCAGGGGATTACAAAAATAAATAAGACACAGCCTCAGATCTTGAACTGCCCAGGTTGTAGTTAGAAAAATTATGGTTTTGGGTTAATCTTCTCAAAGAATCATTAAAATTGGGGGCTTAGGTTTTCAGGAGAAAGATAACACAGTGGGTGATATCTTTATCAAAACTAAAAAATTATTGAGCATAATAAAAAAATAAATAAAAGAATAAAAAATGTTAAAAAAGAAAAAAAATGAAAAAATTAAAATACCAACTCAGTTAAGTTATTGTTAGGCTTGTGACCTCTGCCGAGAATATAATAAGAACCCATTTATTTTGAAAGCAGACTAGGCCAAAAGGATTGAGAAGCCATCATCAATAACTTTAATGACCAATATAATTAGATTAATAGATTTCCAACATTTTCCTATAAGTAGGCAATTTTCAGCAACTGAAAGTCACTTAAGACAATCAAATCATCAATACCGTAATAATGAAATCATAAAATTACTGAATAGAAAATGTTTGGTGTTTAACCTCTCTTCCTTCTTTCTATACTTTTTACCTCAAAGCAGAAGTCTTGTCCAAGGACGCTACTATGGAGAGGTTTCACTGATACAGGCTCTCCTCTGCCAAGATCCAGACATTCCACTGCACTGCAAGGGCTCAGCAAGGACTCATGGGAACGTGACTCTTTTAGTTTAGGCAAACCACGAGCCCTAAAAGTAGAAAAAGATATTTTAGACAGTGTAACTACTTGGCCTACAAGAAAATGAAGGACTAATGCACTGGAAGCTAACAACAAATGTATAAATTCCTAAGGGAAAAGTAAATAAGGAGCAAATTAATAGTTAATCCATAATAATAATAATAGTAGCCATAGTCACATGGCACATATAAACCACACATGTATTTGTGTGTGTACACACATATACACACTTTTTTTTTTCAGTACAACACAAAAACATATTATAACTTTACCAGTCTCAAGGGAGTTCAAAAAGCTCCACTACGGACATTGTTTTTATCCTCATTCCTATCTTGAAGATGAAGAAATACATACTATTCAAGGTAGCTTATATATTCTTTTTTCATGCAAAGGTATTACCAAAAGACATGTTTTATTTCTTTCCTTCTTTTTTTCACGTTATAGCTTGAACCTTTTCTCTCCTTCACAAAATAGTAGTGGCTGAACCCTCATTCTGTTTCTTTCTGCTTTGGCAGAATAAACACACTCACACACAGAGTCAAAGCCAAACTTTTCAGCACAAGACCCTGCCTTTCAAAAGATCTGATTTCCATCTCAATGCGGAATTCTTTTCTGGCAAGCATTTGGTCATATCCATGCTTTACTGTACAAACATGAATAAAGAATAAAACGCCCGAAGAAACCTCCCACCCTCAAAGGAAATGTTCAAACTCTCATCTGGAAGAACAAATCTTTGTCAACAACATTCAGGCATCCTGACCGATTCTGTTTCTCAGTTGTTTATAAAATTTTTTTTTAATTTTTAATTAACATATAATGTATTGTTTCAGAGGTACAAGTCTGTGATTCATCAGTCTTACACAATTCACAGCACTCACCATAGCACATACCCTCCCCAGTGTCCATCACCCAGCCACCCCCTCCCTCCCACCCCCCACCACTCCAGCAACCCTCAGTTTGTTTCCTGAGATTAAGAGTCTCTTATGGTTTGTTTAAAAAAGAATGTTGGGAATGACTCCTGCATGACAGGAGCTGGCCCCTCGCTGCCTTCCAGCTTGGGAAGAATTAACAAAGTCAAATGATATCAAGTAAAATATTCTTGGATCCAGAACTGGATAGCCAAGCAGTTTTACTCAGTAATTACAGAATTTATTGACTAAAATACCCAGAGTTAAATAGATATATGTTTCGAGTAGAACTACCCAGGAATAGGGATAAAAAGAAATGCCTGTGTAAAGACGTTTTTGGAAAACACATTAAATAAGGAGCTTCACTTATTTCCTTGAAACGACTACGTTAACATTAATATCAGAGTGGCTTTTGGTTAAATTATAAAGCAATGAGATACAGGAAGCGAGCACTAAAGGCAGCTCTTTGCCTTTTGTTTCCATTCTCACACTGTTTCATCAAGCTCCATACAGTAAGAAACACCTCAAGCAGTAAGACGTTGCATCCATTCTTCTTTCCACACACATGAAAAGCAACTACCATTTAATGTTTACACTGAAAAACATGTGTTCTGATACTCAGCAGCCTTTCTAAGGTCAAAAAGCCAATATGTGTATTTCCCATGGATAATACAAAGCATGTACGAAAGGGACAAATGCCACCGAATGTTTTGTACATGAAAATATAACAAGGTGACATTTCTTTCCCTTTGTCCTCTTGGACAAGACAATGACATGTTATATACTGCAAACACAGCACCGCAACTCTAACTAAAGGCTACAACAAATTTTACTTTCATATAATTACCATATAACCTTTCTCAGTATGTTTCACAGGGAGCCAGTGGAGCGAACAGGGTACTGCAACGTTTTTAAAACACATATAAAACAATCATTGCAGCCCCTTTTTCCCAGCAAGAGCTAAGGAAAGCTGCTCGTGCTCTGGGAAGGAGCCTCCCAATAGGAAAGATGAAGGCCTATTTGAAATCGAAGCAGGTCTGACAAAGGGCTTACTTTTATTTTGAAAATTCTCAAGGAAAACATTCTCAAAACAGAAATTAATTTTGTTTTCACCAGAACAAACGCCTACCTACATGAAGCAATTGTACAGCCACCCAGCAGCGCAACCCCAAACCATAGCGGAGCCGCATGTCCCGGTGTCGTGAGGCACTTTCTGCGCTACCTCAGACAACAACTCTCTGCTTAGGAGACAAGAACCAACAGAACAGACTTTCCCTGCTGCCTCCGGTGACTGATAACATCTTTGGATAAATGTTTTCCAGGTGTAATTTCAAGTCTCCAATAGAAGTCGAACAGAAACCCAAACAAGGCAACATGAAGGCATCTTCCAAAGAGGCAGCAGGATAGGTAATATTCCTTCTTCTCTTCCTCAGGCTGCATCCAGCCAGCCCCTCAGGTAACACAAACAAGGTTCTGGGCTCTAGGCTGGGCCTGTTGCCATGGTGCTCCACCTAGAAGGAGAGCAGGGCTGGGAGGCAGCAGGGAGAAGCTATCGTATGAAGGACTCGGGAGCATGCTCTGCGAATGTGACCATTTTAAGACAGGAAGGAAGGAATGGCAACGTCCCTACTCATTTCCACTCAGAGTTTCTCAAAGTCAAAGGCTGTAGGAAAAAAACAGAGGCAACTCTGCGGGTGGAGGAGAATCTCTTAACTCGGGGACAAATCTGAGCTTTGGCTCGCCTCCTCCGTGATTCCCTGCCCTCCACTAGAAGGTATTTGCTACATCCCACTTGCAAGAACAATCTTTCTCTCACATCTGTTCTATTTCTTTTGCAGTGTTTACCCTAGTTTAGTGTCCCTAGATATTATTTTATATTAACTTATCTGGATTACACAATTTTTTTAAAAGAGAAAATTGGATAAAATTCTTATTCACTGTATTTCCAATGCTGAACAAATTTCATTTCAATTCGATACTCACGTCTAACTTCCAAATGCAGCCATCAACAGATATTACAACCAAGACATCTGGAATTAGAATTCAAAACTTCTCCTCGGTATTGAAATTGCAATTATTAATATGTAGTTCAGAACCTCCTACTGTTCAGCACATATGTACGTGTGTATACACACATGTACACCCTCACACCCATGAACTGAACACCAAAGTCACTAGGATGTTCAACATTACTACTGAATAAATAAGCAAGCCCTACCTCTTTGGGAAGAAAGTCTCCGGGAAGACAGAAGTAATTCCCAGAGAAGCAGGATTACAGTAAACAGGAAGATCAAGCAGCCTGGGAATGGCTTGAGGTTGGGGGAAGGTATTATCTGGGTAAATATTTCTATGTAATAGCATTAGTAACTCAAGTCCCCTCTAAATCATGTTTACCTCCTCCTGTACCTTCATGTGAATGGATTTTTCTTAGATCTTCTAAGTAGAGAGTTTTAACAGCCCTGTATGCCACTGCAGGTACTTCTCTAATGTAAAGCAGAACGTGGATTTATTGAGAGAATAATTTGAGTTTAAAGCCATTTTTCCCAGTCCAGTCTGACAATGGCCTTCATCAAGGAACCCAGCCTTGAAAAGTGAACCTTGCGAATCCCTTGACGACTAGCCACGGTTCTCTTCCCACCACCTGCACTTCTACCCCCAACTCCCATCATCCCAAACACTATGTAAGAATAATTCAGGGCTCCAATATAATTATTTCTTGGTTTAACTGGGAAACTGCTTTCCAGAAGCAATTTTACTTTCAGTTAAGGAACACCATATTCTTTACATTTTTGTTTTAAGGTGAGCAAACAACCTTGATTGCTATGTAAACTCCAAGGCCTCTAGCAATGTGATAGGTAAGGGTTAACAATCTAATTGCTTTGCTGATGAAGATTACCTGTTGCTTCTGACCTATTTAAGAGATAAACTACAAGACAAGAGAAGCCTTCAATTACTCACTACAGTAATAAGTATTCCGTTGCTTTAACCCACATCCCTATCTTAAAATCAGTCTTAAAAGAAAAAAGTGAAGGGTTGGGGGATGAGGAGCCAATACACACACCATTGGATAGATAGAAAAAAAAAAAAAGGAGTCAAAGAACTCTGATTAGTGTGATGTTAAGTAAAACACAGCTGGATTTTCCTCAGCATAACCATTCAATTTTTTTAAAAGCCATATTTCCCCCAAAGTGCCAATGGTGCTTGGATGTGTTAGCTCAATCCGCCATGTGTTTACAGATTCAGTTCCAAATCATCCGGGAAACTTTTAATTAAAAATGCTTATTGCCACACAAAATCCTGCACGCCAGCGCAGGTGAATTTCTGCTGGGCTTGGCAGTTATGATTCCAGATTGCTTCACTGAATTCTTGAAGAAACAGCTCAGCCATAAGGTGGGTGCAGCAATCTATGCTTATATTCACCAGTATGTATTCCCAAGGCACTTTACCTTGTTTGAGAATTTCCCAGGTAGTAACTAATGAGATTCAGTATCCTAATACTCTACCAATAAATATGCATAGGGTCCAATAAGTTTTTAAAAATTGCATCTGAGATCTCACTTTGGGAAAAATGTGGCTTTACGTGCACCCTACATTTTATTGTTTTTCGACATGGTAGATCTATTGAAAAAGCAGATCTTTCCCTGTACTATAATTTTAAAGATTCCTCCCTTGGACTAAAAAACAACAACAAAGAAGAAATTAGAACTCATTTACCAGAATTCTACTGTGGACTCAGAAGAATGTCCTCCCTGAGGATCCTAGCTGTACTGGTTTATCTGCTGCAGTTAAAGCCAGTCCCTCCTGCTTAAATTACTCACTGATTTTTATGTTAGCTTTAAAAAATATACCACACAACCACTCACACAGAAAGCTATTTATGGAAACATGACATATATTGCTGATCTTCCCTTTCCCTACTCTCAGCCTCTAGACAGGATGGTCTAATGAGCCCAATTGCTAATGGCAAAAAAGGATATTTGTCAGCCTGAGCTGTCACTTAAAACAAACAAACTCATGGTAAGGAAATTTATCATCATAGACAAAAATGACATTCAACCTATTTTGGTACATATACATGTATACATGCAATGAAGGAAGACAC